TTTTTTTTAAATTTGTCCCCAGTTCAAGTAGTGGACATTTAATTCCCTTTCTAGCATCCATTTCCTCTTGCTTCCTTCAGTGGTAGGCTGCACTCTTCCTTCATTTCTAAACCTTTGGATTGAGGTGAATTAATCTATTCCTTCCTTCAGGGTACCATCCCTTTATTAGTTTAATTTAGCTTAAACCCTCCCCACCCCCCACCATCCTCACCTTCATTTCTTCCCAAGTTACATAATAACAGTGAGTGCTCCTGGGCAAGGAGTTTCCTCTCTTTTCTTTTCTTTTTTCTTTCTTTCTTTTTTTTAAAAAGATTTTATTTATTTATTTGACAGAGAAAGAGAGAGAGAGTTCACAAGCAGGGGGAGGGGCAGAGGAAGAGGGAGAAGCAGGCTTCCGGCTGAGCAGGGAGCCCGATGTGGGGCTCGATCCCAGGATCCTGGGATCATGACCTGAGCCGAAGGCAGTCGCTTAACTGACTGAGCCACCCAGGCACCCCTTCTCTTTCTTTCTTAAAAGCTACTGAAAGAGACCTTTCTCTGCTAGATAGTGTCGTATAAAATTGTGAAGTGTAGAATGGCTGCAACTATTTTTATTGTCAAGATTGGAAGCGGCCCAAGGATGCACCTACCATGGAACAGGACAGATCCAATAGAATGGCAGAGAAGTGGAACTGCAGCTCTGATGGCCTTGTGAATCTCTGTATCAGATTTCCTCTGGGTCAGATTTCCTCTGGATTTTTCAATTAGTGGGCAATGAAGTCTCCTCCTCTACTTAGAACTTTTTATGTTTTTGTTTAGAAACATTTATTATGTAGCTCCTGTATGCCAGGCACTGTGTTAGGCATTAGTAATATGGAGGGATGAATGGAATATATTTCTTGTCCTTGTGGGGCTTATACTAGAATGGAGGACAGACATTTAATGAGATGATTGGGATAAAGTGTTACAGGTGCAAACCATAGATAGCCCACAAAGATGGAAAAGCTTTTTGATAGTTGCCACAGAAAAAAGTTGATGCAAGAAATTATTTCTGTCTTTGCTTACGGTACTATAAGAGTGCCAAAATCAGGAGAGCCCACTCCATAAGTCTACAATTATCTTCATGTTGTCAGCAGTGGTTTAATTTCAGCAAAGCATTATTTGTCACATTAAATTAATGTTAATTTGGGTTTGTATATAACTTGTGAATTTGTTGGGTTTATAATTTAAGAGCTGTAAAAATAAGGAATTTATTCCTAATTTGATTTATACATGCTTGGATTTGTCAGTAACTGGGTAGGTCTATGAGGTGATTTTTTTTTTTTCTTTTAAAGGATGTCCTTATGCTACTCAGTTTTGAGAAACACTAGTAGGGATGGGCGCTGGGGAACCATGGAAAATTTGAATCAGTGGAGGAATGGAGGGCAAGATTATAGGCAGAGAAATCTCATAGTTTAGGTTGATAATGAGAAGTTTGAATTAAGGTGCAGAAGTGGGGTCTGAGAAGAAAGTATAAGATATGCTTACTACATAGCCTTTGTGGTTGATGAGATTTGTGGGATGAGGGAGAAACTCCAGATGTCTAGTCTGGATGGATGTTGCTGCTGTTCAGAAAAAGAGACATTAATTATAGAGAGGAGAAACAAGTTTTTCTGGGGCTGAAGTGGAAGTGTGTGGAGGGAGGGACAAGATGACACCCATTTTGAATATCTTGAATTTAAGTTGCCTCTTAAACATTTAGGTTAATAAGTCCTATAGTTTAGGAGATAGGCAAGGAACAGGAATATAGTTTAGGAGTCTTCAGCATTTAGAAAGTTACTGAAACCATAGAATTATGAGATTGCCCAGGAAGAGTTTATTGAAAGAGAAGTGAGGCCAAGGATATTCTAGATGGTCTTGGGAGAGGAGTCCATATTCTCTTTGTCTCTGTTTTTCTGTGCCAAAGTCCCTGGTATGTCTATTTGGGTAAGCAAAGAATATTGAAAAAAAGAAAAAAATATTACTTGAGAGAGATTAATTTTAAGAGTAAAAAGTATTAAATACTACAGTGTATTTAATTTTGGTTTTTTTTCCTAACTCAGATTACCCCCAGGAATAGAGATATTAGACTACCCACCTTAACCTATGCTATCTCTGTCCAAGTCCATAGAAATGGCAACTTTTTTTTTTTTTTTTAATTGGCATGAGGGCCAATTCAGGAAAAAAAACAACTGTGTTTATAGTTGAGTAGTTCCCTTATGGATATACAAGATACCTGATCAGAGTAGAGGATACTTTTAAAGCAAGAACTTAAAGACTCTTCTTCTCATAGACTATCCTCAATAAGCAGAAGGCAGTCTGAGTCTGAATACCTTTATAAAAGACATTCTTGAAGATGTAGCTAGGCCTGTGTATGAAGTAAGACTGCCGTGGTTAGGGGCCCCTGGTATACAAATGTTGTCAGTAAACACTGATAGACTTTCTAGCCACACAGGGTGCCCTTTCAAATGCTGTTAACATTTGAAAGTTTGAGATTAGAAACCTGTGTGTAAAAAATGAGGAACTCTTGAGATAGGTCTAATTATCTCTAAGGCAACAAATAGTCCTTTGGGTGATTTTTTATGTTTAGGAATGAAAATACTGGTTATGTATCTTTTAAAACACTGCTTTGGAACTATTGTACTAAAAAAAAACCACTTCTTATTCCTTTTCCTTATTGTGTATGTGTAAAAATAATTGTTAAGCATTTTATTCGCTTTACAGCTTATATATTTATACTTCTTTATACTTCTCTATGACACAGACATGGATAAACTATTAATTTATCTCAGGGAATCAAAATAGTGTCTGGCAAATTTGAAATCTTTTACTGACATCTGGTATCTGGCATGCTGTAGGACTGATTGTGGAAACTTAAGAAGGTCAGACTAGCTAGAATTCAGAGTCAGGGCAAATGACATTGGTATTTATGATGGTTCAGTTAGACCAATTTTTGTTGATGCTGAAGGAGAAAGATACATTGAATTTGAACATATAAGGGGTCCAAATGGTCAGTAATGAAGAGGGGAAGAGCTTGAAAGTGATGACTCACCTGAAGATACGAAAAAATACTGATGCCTAGCTTCCATTGGCATTCCTTGGAATGTGTTGCAATCTGGGCATCAGGATTTTTTTTAAGCCTTTGGTGTTTCTAACACGCACTGCCCCAAATAATTAGAAAATCAGTCATCTTTCCCTGAAGAATTTTATTTTGCCTATATTTCTGCTTGTAGTCATGTTCATTTAATTTGGGACATTTCCGTTTCTTAAAGTTGTAGAAGTAACTCCTAATGTATCAGACTTCTTAGCTGTGAGCAATGAAAGCTGACTCTGGCTGATTTAGCAGAAATGAAGTTTACTGATACATACTGAGTGGCTCACATAATTGGTAGAAGGCTGGATGGAGCCAGCTTTAGAAAAAGTGCAGAAACAAAGGGAAGCTAAACAGCTAGAACCTGCTGTTCTCTGCCGAACAAGTGACTGGATACCTGGGATGGTCCTGGCCCCTCTGTGCTGCCACTGGTTCTGCTCTTACTGCTCTGGGAAGTAGCTGTCACGACCTCCACTAATGCTGTCATCAGAAAGAATTTTCTCTTGTCTCTGCTTTTCTTTGTCATTAGCCTCCATATTTACAATCTCTGCTAGGTGTGTCTGTTTGGATTAGAATAGGCTCCCAGGGCATGTGGGAAAGCAAGTATCTGGCATTTTCCATTTTTAGTAGTGGAAGATAAGCTCTATCTTGCATCAAAACTCATGAAGTTGGGAAATCTCCAGACACAGGCAAGGGCTTCACATACTTGGAAACCAACAAAATGACAAAGATCATATGCTATACATAGTATAGCCTACAATATGGTATTTATTTTATGCATTTATCCACTACCCCTCACACGAAGAACCCACAGGACATGGGTGTTTTTCCATAATGATTTTTAAACCTTTAGAACATACTATCACTTGTCCCTTAGCAAGCAGTAAGAGATAACAAAATAAGTGAGCAAGTAGCAAGCAAATTAATAGGAAAACTTAGACATATAATATGAATATTTATATCTTATTTTTGGAAGTGTGGAGACCGGTATAAATATAAAATAGGCATGTTTCTTGATAGTAAAAATGTTCTTAGTTTCCATGGTGGAAGTTATATATCAGTGTTATATGTCAACACTGTCCAATAGAAATATAATGTGGGCCACAAATGCAATCAATCCATATGTGTAATTTTAAATTGAATTAAAAATATAAAGAAGCATTTAATTTTATTAGTATATAATTTAACCTAATATATTCAGAATATTGTTTCAACATTTAATCAGTGTAAATATTTAAGGGATAGTTTACATTTCCTTTGCATACTAAGTCTTCGAAATCTAGTGTATATTTTATACTTAGAGTACAGCTCCATTCAGACTAACCTCATATAGTGACATGTAGCCAATTGCTACTGTATGGGACAGCACAGTTCCGTGGCACTGTGTAAAACGCTATATAACTTCCAAATGCTGCCAGCTAACTGTACCTATGATGCAGTGTTTTAGGTGCCTTATGAAAATCTAATGGATGTTTAAAAAAATGTAAACTAAAAGTAATGACAAAATTCTTGATTATTCATTCTCTTCGAATCCAAAACAGTTTTACTTGATTTTGCAGTATTTTGCAATTTTTTTAATGGTGGGGATGGAGGTATGAAATGGGGAAGAGAAACCTAGTTTTTTTCATTAGGCTTTGTTTTTGTTTATTATTTTTGTATTTTATGAACACTTTAATTCATGAGGGATTAGATGTGCCTTAGGCAGAGAAAGGCAACATACTATAGTGCCGAGTTTGCATGTGAATAATCAAATGAATCATATTTTACTACATTTAATGTTTATGGCACTACTAGGCTTAGTTTCTGAAGTTTTTGAAAATAAAAAAGATAATAGTGATCATATATGATTTCTTTCCCTAGATAATTCATGTTGATAGTAAGTTTTATGTTCTAATTATTTTTATTCTTGCAGGCTGCTGAATCAGGAATAATAAAAGTTAAAACAATAGCTGCACGAAACACCGAAATTTTGGCAGGTAATTTTTTGCTTAAAAATTCAACAATTAATGAAAATTTCACTAATAATAAAAGTAGAATCTTTAAAAAAAAACCCCAGAAAACAGCCATCAGTTTTCTGTAGCCTCTCCTTTATGCCCTAGCATGGTGTTTATAGTGATAAAGAACATTTAAAGGTCCCTAACTTATGAACTGATTGGGTTTGCCAAGGATGAATGTTATGAAATTCTCTGAAATCAGAAAGGTTAAAACTACTAACTCCTTACAGGCAAGGATTTGCATTCTCCTCCACATCTTGTTGATCACCTAAGACATACCTTACCCATAAAAGGCATTCAGTTAATATTTGTTGAGCTGAATGGAATGAAAGATTGGTTCTCAGTCCACCTTCCAAGATCTATTTTATCTTTATATAATATAAACAGGTGATAGTGTAGTATTACAAATTTAGTAGTTATAATACAAAACTCATATAAAACAAATTTTATATGAGTTTTGAATCCTAGGACTAAGACAGTATGGTCATGAAGAAAGAATGGGAGGGGGGTGGAGAAAATAAAAAAATGTTTTCTTACATTCTCTTGATTGAACCTGGTTTTCAAAGAGGAATTTCAAGAGTTCCTCTTTGGCACTCTTTTTGATACTCGGTTTACTTCTTTCTTTTCTTTGGTGCCTTTTTGTTCTTGCCTCTATAATGAACATGGAAAAGGAAACTAGCATTTTCTGAGAATCTCTTATATGTGAGACATTTGTGCCACTCTAATAAAAGACAGCCTTGTGGGGAAGTATTTTTATTTTATAGTAGAGCATGTTGAGATGCAAAGAGATTAAGTTACTTGACTAAGGTCACATGATAAGTGGTGGAACTAGATTTAAGTCCAGGGCTGTTCAGAGCCCATGTTCTTCCCGCTACAGTATACTGTCATAGTATTGTGAGGTTTCCACACTAGCTACTCCCTCCCAAGGGTTTATACTTAAACACTGGCTTACTTCACTGATCCTTCAGTCTGCATTTCCAGTTCCAATGGTGCTATTGCTCTCAGCTGGTTATAGGGGAAAAGCAGTCCTATTAAGTTAATTGAAACAAAATCCAAATAGTGCAGAATCTCTCTAACTCTCATAAATCTCTTCACATTTTTAAAAGTGATACCAAAAAATCCCTAATTGGTGAAATCTCAGAGAGTATTACAAAATGAAATGAGGACTTTTGGGGGCAGTTGTAAGGGTGGAAGGTGGATTTCACTTGGGCTTCCTGGGCTTTGCTGGACATTTGCCCTTAGGGTGAGCTCTCCTGTGTTGCATCTGTTTCTCTCAGTTTCTTCTCTGATTTTGAACAATCTGTCGAAACACCAGATAGTTTTATAACAATTATTCACAGCACTGAATAATGCTTTGTGTGCATTTTGAGAAGGGGTATAGTGAAAGTGGTAGGTAAAGGCAAAGGTAGGTATGGTTGGATTGGGAGGGTGGGCTAGTGGGTTTTGGGAGATGCATGTTGGGTGGATTAGCTACTGTGAGGAAACTAATGTTTCAAGATAAATTATGATCTGGATATTTTTAAATTAGCTAATCATATTAGAATATCATTACAAATACTAACTTTTGCTACTATAATTGCTGATATCATGGTACGTCCTTAGTTATTCACCAACACAAGTTTTCATTGGGTCTGTAGCTGATGGAAGATTTTTTGAATAGACTGATTTCTTCAGAGGATCACTCTCTGGTGCTGAGTTCTATACCAAAGTAAAATGTTTAATTGGTTAATCTTAAGAACGAGTAAGAAAACTTTTGTCTCTGTCAGTATGAGTTTAATGTATAGGTAGGCTGTTCATTTTAATTCAGTTAGCTCTATTCAAATCATGCTAGTACAAATCTTTATGCACATACAATTGATAGTTCATGCTTTAAGATACATGGTGTCCAGAGCCGTGCACTTGAGGAGCTATATTAGCACTTAAACTATTTCCTAGCATTTTTTACCAAGTATCTGTAGCAATTGATACTTTAAAATTTATAGCTTTTTAAACCACTATCATCTTGAAAATCAAAGGCTCTCGAACAAGGAAGAGTTTAGTCAATATGTAGTTTCTAAATTACTTAATTAGACTACAGTTAATACTAAAAAAAATTTGTAGTTAATTTTTAAAAAAATTTTAATTTCTGGAGAAATGTTTACTTTGTAGTTCTAGAGACTGTAGGTTACTACTTTTGTGCTATAATGGATGTTAAAGATACCAAACAATGGAGGAGTTGCAAATGAAACGGGATATTGAATTCTCAGCTATCTCTATATATTCAGAAAATATAAAGGGTTGCTATAAAAATTAGAACCCTTAATTAGGATTAACCGGTCTGACTAATGATATTCAGCGTAGATTTCTAGCCAACTTTATATTTTCTTAGATTTTTTTTTCAAGGGAAGGTTATTTACATTGCAGAATAAATCTTTGCTTTACATCTCCCCTTCTTTTAAGCATCCTCCTTTAATGTTTATTTTTCTTTGTTTTCACTGCTGTCATGAATGCTGACATAAGTGGGAATGCTATGCCAGGTAATGTCAGCATTGATTCAGATATACAGATCATTATCTCAAAATTTCCTTTTTCTTTAAAGATAAAGCTCTGCAAATGAGACATAGCAACATCAGGTTTTTCATTTACAAGGCCAAATGCCTTAATCTTACATTTCACTACCATATATTACAAAATGTTTTTATTAAGCCAGCTTTTAGTATACTTGACATTGACTGAGAAGACATGTGTTTTACAAAAATTACATAAACAGAGAATCTGCTTTTTGAATATTTGAAACAAGGAAACCAGTGAAGTTGTGATATCTTAAAATTGTGTGTTTAACCCATACTCAAAACCATAATGGTTACATCTACCTTTGGCTGCTTTCAGCTATTGTCAGTATACATAGAGAATTTTCACATAGATGATCAGTATGTATGATTTGTGTTTTTTTCTCACAGTTTCCCTCACCTTTTTCATATCTACATGGTCTTATTACTAAAAAGTCTTTAAGTAGCAATGAGTAATTATACTTCGGAATTATTTTCTGATGTTAAAGATAATTTATCTGCTGATTTTATTTAGTATTTTCTATCTTATCAATACACATGCTTGTGATATCTTACAAACATCTATGGAATATATCATAAATACATTCTTAATAAGGAAATAATTATGTAAGAATCGCTAGGAGAGATGCGAAGATGAGTAGTATAACTCACCTATAATCTATATGGAAATATAGGAAGTATACTTGAAAATGCATATGTGCCTGCTGTTCATTCTCTTTAGCTTACCTCCTCTTCCATTTGCCTTTTGAAGTGCTTTGCCAGAAATTTTCTCTTCTAGAGGACATACTTACCCGAGGTCAGGATCAGTATCTTACTCTTCCTTATATCACTAATAGTTAGCACATTACATAGGAAATAGTAAGCCCTCATTCAATGTAGGCTAATAGTGAGTCACTCCAAAATGCAAGTAAGTCTCTTAGTGCTGCCTCTACTGTGTTTTTTACTTCCCAGTCTTTACTGTAATTTTACATGTTATATGATTCAGGTAGATGAATTTTGTCATACGTAGTTCATATCAGCCAGATAACAGAGTAATGAAGGAGACAGACCCTAAATGAGAATTTTAATACTGTGGTAAATGCCAAGATGGAAATATAGACAGGCTTATTATAGGAACGTAGAGAAGGCACCCAACCCAGCCTGGGAATCTGAAGTTGAGTCTCAAACCTTAAAAAGGAGTTAGCCAGGCAAATAAGGTGTAGAAGTGGAAAGTAAAGCAGATTACTTGAATATAAGAGGTATAAAACAGTTTGTTCTATTTGGATACACTATTCAAGTATTGCCATTGTGTGACTTCCTGAGCTGCTTGATGGAAGAGTTTGAATCAGGGCAGTGGCACATTCATTTTAATGTTTTTATGTAAACTATTCTCACAGCGGTGGGAAGGTGTATTTCAGTATACCATCAGTAAGGTAGAGGTCTGTTGGTAGGCTAGTTCTGTAATCCGGGCTAAATGACCTAGGGGGCAATTAATTCCATGCTTACAAGTTAACCTAGTGGGCCAGAGATTGCATAGTTTCTCTACAACATAATGTGTTCTTATTTATTCTTTTTTTCCTTGGATTTTTAAAAGCTTTTTAACCTTTTAGTTTGTATTCTTATATCGTTAAGTACTTTCCTTTGATGCTGTCTTTTCTAATTTTTAAAAATTGCTTCATAATATTATAGCAAGTGATTGTAGCTTATTTAACCATTCTTTTATGTTAGACATGTTTCAGTATTTGGAGACAGTGCTTTCTGAAAAGATAAAAGTTTATGCCTTTACCAGCAATATGTGAGTGTTTTTTTATAACATCCTTACCTGATTATTATCTTAAAAAAATCTTTTTGGGAATTGAACAGGCAAATGACTTCTTATTTTAATTGACATTTGTCTTTAGTGTTGAACATTTTCCTCCGAATATATTATTTCCTTTTTTCACTTTACATTTATTTCTTTGAGTTTTTGTGTTTTCTTATCAAATTATTTGAGCTGTTTTATAGCAAAAGTATTCACTTCCCATCATGTTTATATTTTCTACAAGTCATTTACCTTTTAAATTTTTATCTAGATGTTTTTCATTTTTAAATAATCTAACTTTTCTCATTTGTTGTTTTGCACTTAGGAAGCCCTTCTCCTTCCACGTAGTAGATAGTCGTTTTTATTTTCTTCTAGTTCTTTTTCTTGTTTAATTTTTTTCTTAATTAATAATATGTGAGTGACATGAGGGCCTAGATTTTTTTTTCTTTTGCAAAATTACTAACCAATTGTACTAGTATCATTTGTTGAATAATCCTTCCTTTTCATATAATGTACTTTTAATATGAAACTGCCCATATTTTATTTGTCCTCCTATTCTTGAGTCACTTAAAGTATTTTCAGATCTTTTGAACCATTAAACTATTTTCTTAATATTGTTAGAAATATTAGTCTTTTCCATAATTAAATTTTAAGGGGTTTTGAGGATAGTAGTCATGTCTACATCACATTTTATTTCTTTCACAAGAATTACAATTTGTTATTTAATGACCATTAAAATTTATCATAATGAAACTTTTATTAACCCCCATTAATGTGATTCATAGTGGGGTATCCTAGTTTAATTCTTTCTTTCCAGGATAAAAACTACAATTATGCAGTGAAACTGCTCAGAGCAAGGAAACCCCTAGGATATGGGGACCTGCTGGACCTCTTCCAGGTGTGTGAAAGTGTATCATTTGCTCTCACAGTTATAAAATTTGGAAATATATTTACCAACCTAGTGTTATTCTATTAAAGGAGTTATGTTTATTAAAGAACTTAGGTAAAAAATAAACTTTATTTTCCTGACCCCCGAAAAGCCTGTCTTTATATTTTAAAGGAAATTGAAGTAGAGAGTTTTGATTAAAAAGAGTTGACCTTTTTCTCTTTCTTTCCTGGAACAAATTTTAAAAATGGTTAGAGCAGGATATCTCTATTGCTCTACAGCTTTTTCCTCAGTGTGATTTCTAAAGTCTAAGCCCATAGGAAGGTTTTTATATAAAGCTACATTTAAATAGCATGTCATTAAAATTATTGTATATAAAGAGAGAGCACCTGTCTCTCAGAAGAGCAAGACTAATTTCTGTTTAAGACTACTATCACTTTTAAAAGAAGAAAAAAAACTAACTTTTTTTTTGGTTATAATCTATCTTACTGCATTGTGATCTGGATATGGTAGATGTTTGGGTTTTCACACTATGCTTCAAAAGACAAAACAGATCAATAGGTTGTATCTTTTTTGTTATTGATGATTTATTCTGGATAACATAGAAACTTCCTTTTTGATTATTGTATTCTTATATAAACTGGGAGAAAAAGAAAATGGGAAGGAGGCAAGAGAGATACTTGATTCCTTTGAATTACAGTAAAATAAAATTTATAAAAATTATTATTATTTATTAATTTTTTTTATTAAGTAGGCTCCACACTGGGTGTGGAGCCCAATGCAGGGCTTGAACTCACTCCCCTAAGATCAAGAGTTGGACACTTAATCAACAGCCATCTAGACGCCCCTAAAAATTATTTTTAATACTATTTTAATTTATCCTAACTTGAGACACCTGGGTAACTGTGACTGACCTGCATACAACATTTCACTGAAATTCACCTTATTTTTATTCATTCTAAGCTGCACAGATTTTTCACATTTTAGTATTCCCCAAATTGATATGCATCTTAAAATTGACGGCATCTTAGAATCATTGTGGACCAGGTAGTATGGAGGTGTCTTTTTCAGTGCATATGTGAACTTGTTTATAGGTATTCATATTATTATTACATCATTTGAATTATGTGCATTGTTGATATCCCATAAGTTTGACTCCTAAATATTTAAAATGTCACCCTAGTAGTTGTACAGAAACTTTCTGTTGACATCTTATGGTAAGGTCAAAAAAGCACCAGCATCGATATGTGTGGAATGGGTGACATTGGCTTAGAAGATGATCTCAGAGACAATAATGAAGTACTCTTTCAAGAAATGAGGCATCCCAAACAATCTGATTATAAAATGGGCAGAAAATCTATATAGACATTTTTCAAAGAAGACATACAGATGGCCAATAAGTATATGAAGAGATGCTCAACATCATTAATCATCAGGGAAATGCACATCAAAACCACAATGAGGTATCACCTTAAACCTGTCAGAATGGCTGTTACCAAAGAGACAAGAGATAACAATGGCCTTGATGGATGAAATTGTGAGGAACAATTCTAAGTGATTAGAAAGCATTGTATCATAGTTTAATTGACAGTTAATTGGCACTGATTTTTCTTTATGATACTCAAGTGTGTCTTGAAGTCATTGTCATCAGAGACTCAAGAAAGTACATTTTTTTTTCCTTCTATGAAGACAGTTTCTTTCCTTCATTTATCTGAAGACTTCAGGCAGTGCAGATCAGTGGTTCCTCTTAGATACTTTCAACGGTTTTAACTTGGATTTGCATTAAGTGCTGTTTACCTTAAAGAGTGGCAGCATAATGTTGTGGGAAGAATAGCAAACCAGGAGTTAGAAGACCTATTTTAAAAATCTGGCTTTATCACTTACTGTGCACTTGAGCCAAATCATGCTCTATAAACTCTCTATGATTATTGCGATACTCAAATGAGAAACATGTTAACATCATGAAAATGATAAATACAACTTGTTACTATTGGAAGTTTTTGTTTAACTAAACAACATTTAATGACTAGGCATGTTCAGCAGAATTAGGAATGGCCTCATACTTCAGAGATTCTGGCAGGTTTGAATATGATAGCATATTTACTGCCTCAGAATAGTTTTTTTTTTTTTTTTAGCTTTACTGTCCTTTGTTAACATATGAAACATTCATATAAATGTTTCGAGACATTGTTATGGAAAATTTGTGACTCTGGGTTTGAATCAAAACTTTTATGCTTAAGAAAGCAAGGAAATAAGGCAAGGAGCCCTTTTGGAAACTGTTCTTTGCCAATCATATTTGCCATCTCTTAGCTGTGTTAAATCAGTAATTTATGCTGGCATACTGAGGGACTTTGCAGAGTATGCAGTAGGAGATTGTGGGCTTTATTTAGCATACTATCAAGGGAGCTTTGGGAGAAGAAAGGTGGGGATTTAAATGATGAAATTTATGTTAACACTGGTTTTATATTTTTAATGGTGACTGTGGATGACTTTCTAACAATTTCTTTTGAAAAAACATATTAAAACTCAGATTTGTATGTCTTAGTTACAAGTCTTAACCTCAAAAAATAATTGATGGTTGTAGTACCTTTGAAAACCATATACCAAACACATAAGTTTAACATTCTGTTTCCTTGGAATTCCATTTTATCTATTTAAATTCTCTGAGGATTACAGACCTGTTTTATTCATCTTTGTATCGCCATTAAGTGTGTACTGGTTTAATTTCATTTTGTAAATTTAAGAAGGTATTCTTCAGTTTGTGCATTTTCTACCTTTTTACATTTTTGTTGCTACTTTAAAACTTCTGAAAGAATTGGCTTGGTGGAAGGAGTTAAATTAAGATTTGGAATTACAGCATGTGCATCCAATTAACTTAAAGTAATGCTTTAGTAATAAGAGGAGTAATGTTATTGTTTTTAATGAGTTTATTTCTTGAAGAAATTAGGGCTGTATAAATTCAAGGCATGTAATGAAATTCTAGAGAGCCTCTGAAGGGTGATGGGGATGATGTATATACTATTTCTAATTACTTTTTTCTTCTCTAGAATATTAATTCTTTTTCATATTTCCCCTTCTGCACTGTTGAAGAAATAGAGTGCTTCTCTGAGGCAGGATAGAACTTCTGAGAAGTTGTCCTTAAAGAGTTTATAGCAGGAGTTGGAGAAAAACCAAAAGATAGTGCTGGGAGAAAAGCATGGGAAAGCTCTAAGGAGGGTAGTTTAGATACAGAGTCTGTAGTATCTATCCAAAGTGTTTTAACTCTATTGCTTGGTTTCTATTTTAGTATTTACATAAAGTGGTTTTTATTAAGATTGTTAATACTAGTAAATACATAAATGTATTCCTACTTGTGAATTAGATTTAATAATTTATTTTATATGTGTTCTAAATAAAGCCTTGAAAGAAAACAGCTCAGAGGTTGTTCAGCCGTTTCTAATGGGTTGTGGAACCAAGGAGCCAAAGATTACTCAGCTATGTTTGGCCGCCATTCAGAGACTCATGTCACATGAAGTCGTGTCTGAGGTAATGTGAAGATTTTATCTCAATTGTGCACCAAAGAATCAAATCAGGAGTTTTTATTAGGGGAGAATGAAGCATACCTGATAATTTAATGTAAAACAATTTATGTGCTATAAGGACATGGCTTGATTTTAAAAGATCACCAGATTTTTCTATTAAACACTCATGAACATGAATAAAGATGAAGTACATTTTGTCATGTCATGATTAGGAAATCACCCTTCAGTGATACAGATCAGTGTCATTGAAGAGAATAAAATTTATAATTTTTTTAAAAAGGAGGAAAAATGATTTTCCTAGATTATCTGAAGTGATAATTTGTTGTTCATTAATTTGAGTGAATTGTTTGTATCTAACCTTATGTTAAAACAAGGAAAAAACATTTCGTCGCTACAAATCTGCATCCTGCTTTCAAATGTAATGGTGTTACCTTAACTTTATACTCCATAAGTTACTTTAATAGAAGTATATATTCTTTTTCCTTTAATGTAACATTCTAAACAATGTCAGATTTAATTGACTTTATAAATATGTTGTTAATTTGAGTTGCATTTTGTTTTTTGTATGCATATTGTAAATGGAATAATACATGAAATAGTAGCAGTCTCAGTTAATTTGCATATGTCTGTATTTATAAATGTCCAAATGAAATATACCCATATTGTAGAAATGAGCTTTGATTTTTGAATAGGTATCTCAGAACTGTATGCAGCTATTTGCATATATTCAAATGGTATATTTTAAATTTATTTTTTTGAGAAGAAACTTACTTAGCTGTGAATCTCAAATTGAGAGATGTGTTTTGATCTATAGATCTAGAAACGTGGGTTTTGTTATTATGATCAAGAAATTTTCTCCAGGTGAGGTAATATTTGTACATCTTTTTTTATTTAGGGACCTAAACACCTTATATTTTATTTGCTGACAATAATTCAACTAATTATTTTACAGACTGCAGCTGGAAATATAATTAATATGCTTTGGCAGCTAATGGAAAACAGTCTTGAAGAACTTAAGCTACTTCAAACAGTTCTTGTTCTTTTAACAACCAATACAGTAGTTCATGATGAATCACTCTCTAAGGTAGGAAACCTGTTGTCAAAGTTCATAAGTGCTTGGAGGAGACAGTACTTGAATAAGCTCGCTGAAAGAGGAAAGCCTGGTACTGTTTGTACCAAAAGCAACTTCTCTGTCCATGATAATGGACATTGCACATTAAAAACCACTGGTGCCTTATTTTCCCCAGATTAGAGTTGAAATCAGGGTAAGGTAATTGGCATTTATACTAGATAAGGCTGCATGTATGGTAGGGGTTTCTCATTTCTTTCCCATTCCTACCCTCTTTGGAACATGTTAACAGCTGTTCTATTATTTATTTCACTCTATAAAAAGTTTTTTTAAAACTAAAGTATTTCTAAAGAACAAAGTACAGAGAATAATATAATAAAGAACAATCTTTAGTTAATGGTTTATTTATTAAGGAATTTGTTGGACTTTCAATAATAGTTGTTATAATTTGCATACCTTTAACGATGGGTGCCTAATAAAGTAGACTGTGCTCCTGCACAAATTTTTTAATAGACCCTTCACAAAATAAGATAGCTATTGAATACATGGAAAGTGGCTCAGCATCATTAGTTATCATGGAAAAGCAAATTAAAACCCCAAAGAGGTATCATTACGTATCCATTAGAGTAGCTAAAATTGAAAAAGGCCAACCATATCAAGTGTTGATGATGTGGGAAAGTGCTGAATTCACACATACTGCTGATGGGAGTGTGAAATTATAAAATCACTTTGGAGAACTAGCATTTTCTTTAAAAGTTTAACCTGTACTTGCTATATGATCCAGCCTTTTCACTTCTAGTTATTTATCCAAGGTAAATGAAAACACATGCCATTACAAAGATTTGTATATGATGTTCACAGCAGCTTTATTCACAGTGGCTAAAAACTGGAAGCAACTCAAATATCCATCAGCAGATGAATGGATAAGCAAAATATTTGGTATACCTATACTGTGAAATATTATTCAGGAATCAAAAAGTATAAACTACTGATTCAAAGAACAACATAGATGAATTTTACAAATATTACAAGTAAAAGAAAGCAGACACAAAAACAGTGCATACTGAATGATGAAACGCTATTTGTGGAAAATGCCAGCTTATCTGTAGTGAAAAAGGCAAGATGGTGGTTGCCTGGAGCCAAAGGTGGAGGAAAAAATGGAGGGCAAAAGAGCACAAGGAGACTTTTAGGGTGATGAAACTGTTTTGTATCTCGATTGTGGCCGTAGTTTCATGGGTGAATATAACTAGGAGAACTCATCAAATTAAATACCTTAAAGAGATACAGTTTATTTTATAAAATTATACCTTAATCAACCTGAAGTTGATTTTTAAAAAGAAAAAATGACTCCTTTTAAAAAATTATAATTTTATTCATTTATATGCTTAGCATATTTATATAATATTTCTCCAGATGATTTAGTGATATAACAAACTTTGAGTACTTGTTATTTGCAAAACAAGTCATTCTGGGCACATAAAGCACAACACTTTTTTTTTTTTTAAGATTTTATTTATTTATTTGAGAGAGAGACAGAGACAGTAAGAGAGAGTAGGAGCAGGGAGGAGAGGGAGGAGCAGGCTCTCCTCTGAGCAGGGAGCCCGATGCGGGGCCCGATCCCAGGACACTGGGATCATGACCTGAGCCAAAGGGAGACGCTTAACGACTGAGCCACCCAGGCACCCCATCACAACACATTTTTATATACATGTTAAAAGAATCAAGTTGTGAAAGGCGTATTTCACATTGTCTTACCTAATCTTATGTGGCTATATATTTACAGAGTTTGAATTATTTCAAAATCCAAGGATTTTAGTGGTTTTATTGTATAAGAGGGTGGGACTTTAGTATCTGTGATTGGAATAGCCAAACATGAATTACTTAGTTTTGGGTTACATCAAATAAATAGTTAGTCTGTTCTTCAGTCCTAGTTCACTAAACGAAAATTGTTCTTTTAGGCAATTGTTCTTTGTTTTCGACTACACTTCACGAAAGATAATATTACAAATAATACAGCTGCTGCTACAGTGCGACAAGTTGTTACTGTTGTTTTTGAGAGAATGGTTGCTGAAGATGAACGACACAGAGGTAGAGTGATAAAAGTGGCTTCCTTTTCACAGTGTGTGGTTTCTATCCACAATTTCTCTTTTGATTTTCAGTCTTTGCCCTGTGAACTTAGGCTGCCTAAAAACTAGAATACTTTAAAAAATATATTTATTGTACTAATATTATTATATTGACAGTGGCAGTTCAAAAAACTAAATCCCCAGCAGTGTTATCACCCCAAGAATAAACTCTTTATTTTCCATGTTTATTTCTAATTATGCATAATTTCACATTTTATATCAAGTATTGCATTATATGTATTTTTAGCCAAACATTACATTATATGAATTTTTCATGTTATTCTTTTATTTTTGTAATTTAGATTTTACTTTGTTTAATTTATTTTTTTATATTTTATTTATTTATTTGAGAGAGAGAGGGAGCGAGAGAGAGCAAGCAAGCACCAGTTGGGGAAGGGAGAGGGAGAAACAGACTTCTGCTGAGCAGGGAGCCTGATACGGGACTCGATCACAGGACCCTGGGATTGTGACCTGAGCTGAAGGCGGATGCTTAACAGACCGAGCCACCCAGGCGCCCTGTAATTTAAATTTTAATGGATGCACTATGTTTTGTGGCTATTTTACAGTTTAATGAACTAGTTTCCTATTGGACACTTACATTGTGTTTAGTAAAGATTAATCTTTTCATATTTTCATCAAATACCTTTATTCTAATTTTAAACATCTTTTTGTGATTTTAAAAAATTTCCTAAAAACTTAGAAACATGTCAGAGAACTGAAGATACTGTTTCTGTAATAATTTTTATAGTTTGATAACTTTTAACTATAGAAATTACGTTTTATTTATTTGTTATTGGATGAAAAGTAAATTATTCCCCATGATTAGTTGAAAAGATCCTAAGGTGGTACCATCATGAGCAACCTATCTGCTTTATGTACTCAAGAAACAAAAGATTAAACTATCTTTCCCTTTTACACAGGGGAAAATCCCTATGTAATCCCCCGAACCCCCAACTCTTAATGTTACGCTGTCATTTCATTTGAGGTTCTTTTGGTATTACTGATAAAAAATGGCAATACTATTAAGTAATTGTAGTGCTGCCTATTCTAATAATTTCTTTACTTTTCCTGAAGTTAACCATTGGTCAGATTTTTCACATTCAGTTTCAGGCATTCTTTTTTTTTTTTTAAGATTTTATTTATTTATTTGACAGAGAGACACAGCAAGAGAAGGAACACAAGCAGGGGCAGTGGGAGAGGGAGAAGCAGGCTACCCTCTGAGCAGGGAGCCCGATGCGGGGCCTGATCCCAGGACTCTGGGATCATGACCTGAGCCGAAGGCAGATGCTTAACGACTGAGCCACCCAGGCACCCCAGTTTCAGGCATTCTTGTTGGTTTATTAGAATATTTCCACTTACTTTGGTATATTGGTTTTTCTGCTTTTTTCCCAGGGTAAATACAGGTTGAGTTCTAGAGTTTGAAATATGAAGGAATTAAAGTTATAGGATAAAACAGGGCAGTTCTGCAGTTTGGATGTGTTATATATTCATAACTGCAGTGTGATTCCTGGATTGGTAGTTTTAGCTGTGTCTCTAAAGACCAGTATCTCATTTAATACTTTCTAATAAGGTGGAAATACTTAGAACCTCGTTTTTTTTTTCAAGTAGTCATCAAGTCAACATTTATCTAAAACAGGCTGTCATAATTTACAGCCTGTAAATTTAATGTAACATTTAAATGTTATCTTACTAGTATTCAAAGAAATGCTGAGTTGGGAAGCAACTTTCTAGCTGACGCTTAGCTAGTCAATATCTATAACTGACATAGTAATTGTGGCAGATCAAACAGTTAATTCTTTTGTTTATGCTGAGATGATATAGGAATTAACCATATGGTAAACTTTTATGTATTTGATGTTTAAAGGCACATTCAAAGATCATGTGAATTTCAAATCCATAAAATAAAGGGATTGGGGAATGGGAGACTGGGAAAATCAAATATATGGATAAAGATGCTAAGCTTATTAAAGTGACATAAGATAGTGAAGAGTAGTTTTTATGGCATTTTGTATAAAAATAAATTCCTAATGTTTTTTCCCATTTTGGAGGCATAGTTCTGAGCCTACATTTAAAGTTTATAATTTCATAAACATGTATTTATTTTAAATAGTATATATGATTTATTAAAGGTCATTATATACCCCTAAAACCCATCTTATTTTGATTGCAGATATTATAGAACAACCAGTACTGGTCCAAGGAAATAGTAACAGAAGATCTGTCAGCACCCTCAAACCTTGTGCTAAAGATGCATATATGCTTTTCCAGGTATTTCAGTTGATAAAAATAATTTTATTACAGAATATAGTTTTGTGTGACTTTTTGATTTTGGAATTTTATGTCTGATTTAATTTTTCAAGTGTCAATTTTTTAAATTGTCAAATTTTAAAGGGTCAAAAGTAGTATTTCAGAAATGTTCTAGGACATTAAAGAGCATCTATAGCTAAGGAACATGATAAAATGTTACATTTCATTTTAAGGAAATAAAATGAACTAGAGAAAGAGGCATATTAGGGATGACTAGTAATATAAGATAATTTCTGTGACATAAAAATTTAACTAATAAGCCTTGGTCTACTTAATACAATTTGATATACAAATACCTGATTTTTATGTTACTTGTCATGAATATATCTTTTAAGTAAAATAAGATTTCTCTGCACTGAAAATTTTACTATTTTTTTTATTAAAGGGTTATTTTAAGTGGTCTTTCATTAAAAGACTATTAACCATTTATTTGCACCTTATGTATTGTCAATAGTTACATGATTCTTTAAAAGTTTACTTATATAATCAAAATAGTTTGTCAGAATTGAATTACCAGTGTTTAGTTTCTAAGGAGTAAAAACTATATAAGAGATAACTTTTAAAAATTTTATGAATTTTGAAAAGCACATTTTATTCCAGCCTGTGAATGTTTTATTTTTTATTTTTTGACTTATTTTCCCAGGACCTTTGTCAATTGGTTAATGCTGATGCCCCTTACTGGCTAGTAGGCATGACAGAAATGACTCGAACATTTGGCCTTGAATTACTTGAGTCAGTCCTGAATGATTTTCCACAGGTCTTTTTACAAGTAAGCCATTTGTAGTATCTTGCAACAAAATTAATCAAAATTTTTTCACAGATATTTTTCAAGAAAGTAACATGTATTCTCATGTTAGAGGATTGAAAGAATTACAGCTTTAGACTTTAGATATGTGATAATTTAGTGTTATCTTACATTATTATAGTGCCCTAGCACTTTGAAATTTTAACATTAGAAGGAATCCCTAGAGACCATATAGTGACGCGTTTCCCAACCTGTGGGTGTATGAGGAAATTTGGTATGTGAGCTGTTTTTTATAATATTTAAAAGCTGAAAAATTGTTACTGATTTTTACTTGCTTATATGTAGCTATGTGCTTTTGGATAATTCTTAAATATATAATTACGCAGGATGCCTGGCTGGCTTAGTAGAGGAGCATGCAACTCTTGATCTTGGGGTCATGAATTTGAGCCCCATGGTGGGTGTAGAGATTGAAGAGATAAAAACTTTAAAAAAATAAAATAATTATGCTTGTTTGTCATTGAGTTTTTTTTTAAAATCAGCTTATTGTGTTCTGTTTAAGCAATCTAAGTGGAACAAAATATTAAGTTAATTATTAAATCTTCCATGCATGAATGGAATTGTTATCTTGGCAAAGTAAAGTTAATGAATTATATAACATATTTTATTTATCTGGTCTTTCAGCTGCCTATTTTAAATGCTTTAGCTTTGTGTTTGAACTTGTATAATCTGTCTTCTTTCTTATGTTCTTTGTTTTGAATTGCTAGTGTCCTACCAAAATCACAATTCCTAATAATAAACCACTTAATGCCAAATCATTAAATGTTCCTTTTTAAATTAGATTCTTTTAAAACGTCTTGAAATATTGATGATCATTTTGATCTTACACTCTCAAAGAGCAGCACTAATTTCATAATTGTTGTAAACTATAGAATAATAAACTAAACATATAATAAAGCTAAATTATTCATACTGATTATTAATAAGTTTTATTTGATAGTAAGACTGTTTTAAAAGTATTAAGTACAAACTAAGTTAATTCTTTTTTTTTTTTTTTGTCTTGCAAATAGCACCAAGAGTTTAGTTTCCTTCTCAAAGAAAGGGTATGTCCTCTTGTGATAAAACTCTTTTCTCCAAATATAAAGTTCAGACAAGGTTCCAGCTCTTCATCTTCTCCGGCACCAGTTGAAAAACCGTATTTTCCTATCTGCATGCGTTTGCTGAGAGTAGTATCTGTTCTAATTAAGCAATTTTACAGCCTTTTGGTAAGTGCTAATTTTCATGTGTGTTTGTATGTGTAATTGCATGTAGTGTTCTTTTTAAATGATAATTTATTATGATGCATTCAGCTTTTCCACTTCACAATTTCTTTTAAAGTATTTATAGGTATTTTCCTAGTAATTCTACGGGTTTATTCTATCCGATCTTAGATTTTGCTTATGTTTTATATAGTATTTTTAATGTATGTCAGGGAGAGTCATGGCCTGTTATCTGAGGGCAGCATAGAATTTGTGGCTAGGGAATTCAGCCTATTAGCAAATTATCTATATCTCATTTGAAGGATCATTAAAATTATAGTATCTTCAATTTATGCTGCTTTCATTTGTACTATTTAATGTATCTTAACAGATTAAAGCAAAGAAGTTAAAAATTTGGTGAACTCTAGGATTAGAAATAAACTATTTTGACTTCTAGTCCAGTATTGTATTTATTTTGCATAAATTTATGAATGCAGAATATGTTGTTATATTCCTGATCATAGTATATCAATGTGATATTTTTCAGAGAAAATGGTATATTATATTGCTTTTTAATTTTATGTTATGTGAAATTCATCCTTGTAAAATTTTTTAGCTTATATCCTAATTTTAATTAACAGGAATAATTGGCTATTGATAATTACGGAATAGTAAACTGTATAAACTTATAATACTTCTAATATTGTGAGCAGTCGATGTACTAAATATTAGAGGTAACCAGCAACTTTACAAACTAATAGATGGTAGTTTATACTAAATTCCGTGGAGAGCTTTTTAACATAAAGGGCTTTTTTTTTTTTTATATGTGTGATAAACATGTCATAGATTTTCTTTTCATATTCCAAATCCATTTATGCACAATATATTCAGAAATCATCTTTATAAGCCCTGTAGTTATAATTATTTCTGGCCACACAAAGTATACCTATAGTACACATTGATGTATTTAATGTACTTGTAGGAAATCAAATCACTTCAAACGAATTGCTATTTATTAGGGACACTATTAAGTTATCTGCGTTGGGTGCCAAAGGTGTAAGAGTCTTTTGGTACACTCATAATTGTTGGCTTGGACTTTTTTTGTTCCACCGAAATTAATAACATATAATTGAACATTTAGGTACATAGTTTGTGAATTTACTTTAGTTCATAGCTCCATCTTTCTCTGTAAGGATTAACTTTCAAAAATTACAGTGTTACTCCCAACATGTATGATATTTGATGTAATTTCCAATAATTATTATTAATTGAAAAAAACAATACTTTTTTGTCTAATTATATACAATTAAAATGGAGGGAAATTCTGTGAGTCTTTACATTGATTAACTTTTGGAAGTTTTGAAAGGTCTCCTGGCACTTGCTGAAAATGAATGAAAACTAGCTTAATTTCTCCAAAGATGGAGAACTTTTACCTATCACCTGTTATATTTTCTGAATTATATTTATTTATAGTCTGTTTTAATCCACAAAGAAACTTTTTAAGAATGTAAACCAGAGTGACATTAGCAAAATGTTGGAATATGAAGCTGAGTCTCTCTGTCCCCCATGGGGACACCAAGTTAACAGTCCATAGATTACCTCTGTGAGAACTTACCAGTTGAGAGGTTATAGCACACTAGGCACATGTAAGGTGAAGCAGAGAGGTTCATTAGAATAGGTAGGAAATCTCAGTGCACTTAGCTGCATACCTCCTCCCACTCCTTACACAGCACAGCATGGTGTGATCAGGAGCAAACTCCCAACCTACGGTTTCTCCTTCACATGGCAAAAAGGTGAAATGTGCATCCACCATTCTGACTTTTTGGGGCTATGCCCAACTGGTTTCTGTCTCCCTTGATTCTTGGAGCACTGACAGGAAAGGCAGCAAGCACACTTGGGCCTGCTGAGAACAAAGGCAAGCCCTGCTGCTTCCTGCTGCCCAGAGAGGGTCGTACTGAGGACATACACCAGGGGGGAGCTCCTGAAAAGAAACAAGTAAATGACTTCAGCTGGGAAGCTACACACACAAGCCCAGAGGAAACAAACACATTGACAGAAGAGGTTTGAGAGGATCCCAGGCTGATCGGTGAAGATCTTTCCCTGTACAAAACCAGTCCATAAAGACTAAAATAGTTGGCTTTTTTCAAATGCCCAAGTTTTAACAACAAAAATAACAAGGCATACAAAGAAACAGGGAAACATGGCCCAATTCAAGGAACAAAATTAATCTCCAGAAACTAACCATAAAGAAATGGAGGTCAGTGAATTACCTGACAGAAATTCAGAATAATCATAAAGGCGCTGAGTGAACTAAAAGAGAATACAGAACACTAAATGAAATAAAGAAAGTGGTGTATGAACAAAATCAGAATATTAATAAAGAGATAGAAACTATAAAGGATAAATATCTAAAGCAGAAGAATACTGAATTGAAAAATGCACTAGAGGGGGTCAGCAGTAGACTAGATCAGTAGACTAGAAGAAAGAATCAACAAACTTGAAGATAAGTCATTTGCAATTACCAGGTCAGGGGAGCAAAAAAAAAGAAAGAAAGAAAAGAAAAAGAATGAAGAGCCTGTAAGGACTTATGGCATACCATCCAGCTGACCAAGATACACATGTCTAGTAAAAACGCACTGGGTTACATTCTCACACTCGTAACACCTCACACATCAGACGTATGGATTTTTTCGCACATCAACCAATACTCTGACAGCCAGATATTCTACATTTCAATTCAATTCTGACATTAACCAGAGTTAGCACAGACTCCGTCCCACAAGATTCCCCCCTCATTGCAGATGCCAATCACAAGTAGTAGGTTACCCACTTACCCACATATTCTAACTTGGCTATATATGGGAAGTTCCCACAACCACCTCTTTGGGTTTGATAATTTACTAAAGAACCTAGGAAAACAGTTTACTTACTATTGCCTATTTATTATAAAAGATATTTTAAAGGATACCATTGAATAGGCAGATGAAGAGATTCATAGAGCAAGGTCTGGAAAAGTCCCAAGAGCAGGAACTTTTGTCCCCATGAAGTTGGGGTGTGTAACTCTCTTGGCATGTATATGTGTTCACCAACCTGGAAGCTCTATAAACTCTGTACCTTTAGGATTTTTATGGTGTTTTCATCATGTAGGCATAATTGATTATTAACTCAGTTTCCCCCACTTTCCCTTCTCCAGAGAATGTGAGGAGTGGGGCTGAAAGTCTCAAGCTTCTAATTATGACTGTTTTTTCTGGTATCCAGCCCCTGTCCTGCAATCCATCAAGAGTTGCCTCATTAGAATGGAAGATACTATTCACATAGGAAATTCCAAGAGACTTAGGAGCTGTGTGTCAGATGCTCCTATTACTCAGGAAATTATAAGGATTTTAGGAGCTCTGTCAGAAACCAGGAGCAGAGACCAATATATATATATTTCTTATTACTTCACAATACATTATGGGAGTCTCAGGTGAGGAAAGAAAGGGGCAGAGAGCCTGTTTGAAGTAATGGCCAAAAACTTCCCAACTTTGAAGAAGGAAAGGGACATAAAAATTCATGAAGCTCAGAGAATTATAACTAGGATTAATCCAAAGAGACCTATACCAAGACACATTATAATTAAGCTGTTAAAACTTACAGAGAATCTTAAAGTAGCAAAAGAAATGCAACTTGTCATGTGTAAGGGAGCACTCATAAGACTGTCAGTAGATAGCTCAGCAGAAACCTTGCAGGCCAGAGAGAAATGGGATGCTATATTCAAAGTACTGAAGAAAAAAACCTGCCAATGAAGGAGAAATTAAGACTTTCCCAGATAAATTAATTACATTAAATTAAGGTAAACAAATGTATAGGAAGAAAAGACATTCCTCCTTTTCCTTTCCATATCCACTAGCCAGTCATAGAGCACCAAGTCTTGTGTTCTCACAGTAATGCAGCATGCTTATACCTTCTTCATAACAAATACAGAGTTTACATTTTCTGTTTCCAAACGAAGAATTACCAACTTCTTTTTTATTTTTATAAAACTTGGTGCTGAGTTGTGCCCCTCAAAATTAACATTTTGAAGCCCTAACCCCTAACATGATAGTATTTGGAGATGGACTCTTTGGGAGATAATTAGGTTTAGATGAGGTCATGTAGGTAGTGCCATCATGATGGGCTTAGTGACCTTATAAGAAGAGACACTAGAGAGCTTGCTTGCTCTCTCTTTCTGCCGTGTGAGAACACGGTGATGAGGCAGCTGTCTGCAAGCTAGGAGGAGAGCTCTCACGCAAACCCAGTGATGCTGGTACCCTGATCTCAGATTTCTAGCCTCCAGAACTGTGCCAAACGATTTAAGCCACCCAGTCTCTGGTCTTTTGGTATCCCAACAGACTAAGAACTTGGTTTCTGTCCACCAGTTCTCTTAACGTAGCAGTTCATCTGGTGAGTTTTTCAGAGATACAGATACCTTATTCTTCAGTAATTTCAGTTTTGGATGAAATTGCTGTTTTTGAGTGCATATATTTTGGACACTGTACAAAGTGCTTTACATATATTAATTCATTTAGACTTTACCACAGCTGAAAAAATGAGACTCAGGATATTTATGTAATTTGCCTGAGATTATACTTTCTAAGCCACAGAACTGGGATATTAATGAATTCTTTTAGACTCCAAAACCCTCGCTCTTAATTCCAGTGCATTTTACTACTACTCTGTTTTCTTAGTTCTCATTTCTTTTCTCTCCAAGGCTGCTAGTGCTAAATTTTCAGTATTGTTCCTATACCATTCTCCGTATTTAGACCTTAATCTCCTTGACTTGGGGGGATAAAAGGGGGAGATAAGTAACAGTATAGCCAGCTATAGGAAAGATTGAATGTTACTACCTAAAGGTAGAAAAATGCCTACTTCTGTGTACTTCACTCATAGGGGGTGATGGCCAACTGGTAAAATTTCTCTTCCTAATAAGGCAGCTCTAGGACCATGTTTATAAAGATGAATCCTTCAGATCTATATAAGATACTAGTTTCTCAGGGACACCTGGGTGGCTCAGTCAGTTAAGCATCTGCCTTCAGCTCAGGTCATGATCCCAGGGTCCTGGGATCGAGCCCCGCATCGGGCTCCCTGCTCGGCGGGGAGCCTGCTTCTCCCTTTCCCTCTGCCCCTGCTCGTGTTCTCTTTCTTGCTCACTGTCTCTCTCAAATAAATAAATAAAATCTTTAAAAAAGAAAAAAGACGTTAGTTCCTCATTGTTACACTTTGTGACATTGGAACTTAGCAGTATGGGAAAGTGCAGACATTCTATAGTTTCTCCAAAGGCAAAAGCTAAAGGTATGGTACTTGTGGGGTAAGATAGGTAATTATGGAATGCTTCTCTCTCATTTCTTTGTGTTTTCTTTATTTAAACATAGCTAATGATACATCTCCTAGGAGACATACTTGGAGTAATAATTCTTATACTTTTTAGTCTTTGGATCCTTTTATGCTTGTAATAAAATATTGAGCTTTTGTCTATGTGGATTATTTCTATCATTTATTATATTAAAGATTAAGTCTGAGATCCTATTAAACCCATTCATGTTAACATAAAAACTTAATATTTTTTCCAGTGGGAAAACAAAGATTATATATATATTTTTTAATGATTTCCTCATCTTTTTATTTTTTAAAGATTTATTTACTTGTTTGAGAGAGAGAGAGCATGCAAGCTGGAGGAGGGGCAGAGGGAGAAGTAGAATCTCAAGTAGACTCCGTACTGAGCATGGATGTGGAGCCTGACACAGGGCTCGGTCTCACAACCCAGAAATCATGATCTGAGCCAAAACCAAGAGTCGGATGCTTAACTGACTGAGGCATCCAGGCACCCCAGAGATTTTGTTTTTTGCTTTAATGTCTGGCTTAGTAGAAGATTAGCTGGATTTTCCTATCTTCTGTTTTCATTTTGTTGTGATATGTTGTTTTGGTTGAAACATATGAAGAAAATCTGGCTTCTCTAAGTTACGTAGTTGGAAAAGGCAGAATTATCTTCATGGATATTCATATTATCTTAATAGTGGATATTCTTCTTTGATACTGCACCAAACTGGACTAGTGACAGTTTAATGGTGTAGGATCTGAAACCTTAGTAATGACATTTTCATACTCTATTACATTAAAATTCATTGATTCATCTTGTGCTCTGATTGTATCTTTTATCCATACATGGTTTTGTAATATCATGTATTTTAGTTGTGCAGCTATTCCAAATGTTAACACTTTATACAATACTAAAAATGACGTACGTTAATCACTAACTATGTATCAGATAAATCTCCCATTATTAAGAAATTGTCAAGGTCACAGTGGTAGATACAATAATACTGATTTTTGTTTGAAAGCTTGAATCTAATCTTTGGCAACAAAAACTGTCATTTGTTTCCCTTAAAGAATGACAAGCTTACTTTGTTCATTTTTGACAAAGTGTCTGCAATATACACAAATCTAAATAGTTGTAGTTTACCATTTGCTCTTTTAGTTAAAATGGTGTTCGATAGAAGTGACTAGATCAGTTCCGAACTGTGCTTTTCCTCCAGACAGCCATTGTACTTTGATACATAGCAAAAGTGTTTCATATGTATTCTCATTTTGTCACACAGAAAATTAAAAAGACATGAACTTATAGGTCAGACTTAAGAAAATCAGTAATTTAATTGTATTTTTTATTTATGCTATTTTTTTTCATTATGGTTCTTTAGTGAAATAGACCTTCTTTTAAAAAAATGTGTGTGGTGGTGGAGAATACAATGACAGTAGTGCAGTCTGGTGTTAGTGCCTTGATTCTTGATAAAGCTGTTTTACCCACCATGCTTTTGTACCTTCATTACAAATGTCAATGCACTGAAAATGGCAAGTAATATATTACTATAAAAATAATTGTGACCTCACTTTGACCCCACTTTGGGGAATCATTGAACTAGAGAATCTGTTCTCCCCCAGTATTCACCAGCTTATCTCATTCTATCAAGTAGCTCAGGGGTGTAGATAGCTAATATTCAAAGGTTAGTTCTGTTAATATATCTAGAGTGACTAGAGGAAACTGGAATGCCCCAGTCATTCAGAAAGAGTTATAATATAGCTAGTATACTATATTCTTTCTCTTTTCTATCATCTGAGCTAGGTGCTTTTCTGTCCTCTGAATCATTAGGCTTGTTCCCAGATATCTTTTTAAGGAAGATATGTTTAAGGAATTTATGAAGCTTAATTATAAGTGGCCAGCATATCTCTCTTCTGCCTTTGACTCGCTGCTTTTAAAAAGGAATGAATGGGGCTAAATTGACTTACCCAACCTAATGTTCTACTTCTTCACATACATGTCTTAGTACATACAAAGGATCTTAGTGCTAACAAATCCATTAACTATAAGGTTGTTAACTCTTACCAGGCCTTGAGAGATAGACTCCTGCTTTTAAATATTCTATCAGGCTTTCTTGTGTCCTAAGCCAACAGTTATCTTATGTACATAATCTATCAGAAATCCATGTGATACTGTGATTAGAATTTCTACCAGGATGACTTTGATTAATCTTAAGCATCAGTTGTCTCTTGACTACTATGCATTACCAAAAGACTAGGAATTCAGAGACATTCATCACTCTTCATGCTTACAATGGAGTTCATGAAGTATCTTCGTGCCACAAGGAATTGGACTTAGGCCGTAGATACCAATCTTAATACCTGTTTCCCTGTGAGTTCAACCTCTAGGGGAAAAGGCTTAACAGATTCACAGCAGGCACCCTCCATTGATGCCCTTGAGAACAATGCAGTGACCTCAGCACAAGTTCTGTGATCAGACTTTCATACTTGGCAAGGAGGGAGAAAGGGAGAACAGAGTTCCAGACCTCAGGAGAGAGGCTCTCCTTACCCAAATTGGGAGGTTTTAGTGGCTACAGTATAAATTTGTTTAATTTGTGCTGTAGTCTGCCTCCCACAGGAGAGAAAATGATGTACTCTTCAAGGCAAGTTTTATAACAGTGTTTCCTTTGGCTGTGATGTAATGATGTTTCTGAGAGCCTTTGTTTTCTGGCCTCAAAACCTGGCTGATAAGCCTTCAATTCTACCACATTTATATTTCACTTTCACTCTAAAGTAGGTAGTGTACATTTGGAGGCCCCACTAATGTTAAAACTCTGTAGTAGATAAAATTTGCACGGTGAGTCACCAGCATGATTCTTTTTCAGTTCGTTACTAAAAGGATCATTTGTTTAGAAAAAATAATGTGCTCTGCATTTGCATGGCATTTTATCATGTTTAGGGGATGTTTTTAAAGATTTATTTCTTTATTTTTTTATTAGAGAGAGAGTGAGCGAGCAGAGGGAGCATGACAGGGAGAAGCAGGCTCCCTGCTGAGCAGGGAGCCCGATGCGGGGCTGGATCCCAGGACCCTGGGATCATGACCTGAGCCGAAGGCAGCCGTTTAACCAACTGAGCCACCCAGGCGCCCCTAGGGGATGTTTTTATTCTTACAGTTTTCTCATTTGATTTCTCAGAGAGATGTAGATATTTTTATCCTTTATTTATAAGAAGGTTATGTAGCTTGTTATCCACTCATTTGGTGGTTAAAGAAGCTGAGCCTATCTGATTTCTGATCTAGTGCTTTTCAACTGTCATGATTAGAACAGTGCTAAACCTCTGTTTTATGACTTCCCCAATCATAGCAGTCCACGGATAAAGTTTTTAATTATGCCTCCTGCTTTATCCTCATGATTATGTCCTAATTTTAAGCGTTCAGTTAACAGTACTGAAGGGCATTAGAGAATACCAGCTGCTAAGACTTTGGGTGAACATCCTGAGGGCCACTATTCCTGAAATTTCTTGCCTGAAGTGATGCCCGCTCATTTCAGGATACCCCCAGCTAACTCATCCAATAATCTGCTGCAGTTAGTGTAAAAGGAGGGTTCAGTTTGGCCTAGTAATCATAGGGTCAGGTTCTTAGCTCCCAGAGGTCCTGCTCTGTCCTAAGTTAGTGTACAACAGACGTAATCCGTTAACCTTTGAAAAACCCAGTTACTTTTTTTTGGTCATTTATTCATTTATTAGACATTTATTTATTTATTATTTTTATTTTTTTAAGATTTTATTTATTTATTTGACAGAGAGAGAGAGACAGTGAGAGAGGGAACACAAGCAGGGGGAGTGGGAGAGGGGAAGCAAGCTTCCCGCTGAGCAGGGAGCCCGATATGGGGCTCCATCCCAGGACCCTGGGATCATGACCTGAGCCGAAGGCAGACGCTTAACGACTGAGCCCCTCAGGTGCCCCTCATTTATTAGACATTTAATACATAATGTTGAGAATGTGCTTCAAACATTTTTATTTACAAAGAGCATGCAGAGAAGATGGTTTATATTAATAATGGTAATGATAACTAATACTTATAAAGCAAAACTATGTACCAGGCCTTATTCTAAGTACTTTGTGTGTTTATACCTGTCAGGTGCTACAGATTCCTTTTTGTTTTCCTACTAGAAAATATATATTAAATGTGCTTAGGCTTATTGCCTCTTTGTTTAAGCAGCAAAAGAACATATGGAAAAACTTGTGGTATTATCGAAGAGAAGAACCTACATCCTATCAGCTGTTGACATGATACATGCTACCTGCCAGGAATGAGGGTGGTGTGATGGTGCATAGTGCTTTCTAAAGAATAAGGATAATAGATGAACCGTTTTAGCAGTTCTCTAGTGTGTGTTTGCAGGGACGTAGAGAGAGACTGATTATTTTTACTGTTAGCTTTCCCCATATAACTGCTTTTCCCTTTTTTTCTCTACTCCCCATTAAATGAATTTTAATTTATTTAAAATTGGAAGATTTTATTGGTTGGTCCATAACACGAAGAACAATACTGTAATTTATAAATTCTGATCTTAGATTTAAAGAGATAGTATTAAAAATTTTTTTTTTAGGTAACTGAATGTGAGATATTTCTGTCACTTCTGGTGAAATTTCTGGATGCAGATAAACCACAGTGGTTACGAGCTGTTGCAGTAGAATCAATACACAGACTCTGTGTGCAGCCTCAGCTCTTAAGGTAAAATCACAGCAATATTTTGTTAAAAAGATAGGTTAATGTTTGCTAATAGGAAGAATTTAAATATTTATTCCCAAATATTAGTGATTTCTAAACAAAGAAAATTGTATATTTTATGTACATGGAGCAGTAGTGGTGTGAGCGTGGAAACAACTGAGAGGTGGGCAAAAATATATGGGTAGTAATTGCCATCAGTCCAAATTTATTGGTTAATATAGCCAAGATGATTTTTTTTATAACATTGACCTCAGTCTGAACCTTTGTACTAACTTAGTAAAATCACTCAGGTGTGATGAAGTTTTAAGTATAGACTGATATATCAATATTAATTGCTGTTTTTCTCAGAAACATTTAAAATTCTTTTACAGGTCATTTTGTCAGTCCTATGACATGAAACAGCATTCTACCAAGGTTTTTCGTGACATTGTGAATGCCCTGGGATCTTTTATACAGTCGTTGTTTCTTGTCCCTCCTACCGGAAATCCTGCTACAACAAACCAAGCTGGTAAAGGCTAATTCATATTTTGTTTTTTAATATTCTGCCATGATTTACTGTATTCACTATTCTGAGAGGATATTTTGTAGAAATTTTGTGACTGGAGAAATATGGATTACCCAGATGTATTGGTGGTAAAGACTTACACTTAAAGAATATTCAGTCTCATTGAGGCAGCTATGTTTAGTTCTTTCCAGAATATGTTTCCTTCTCTGGTATACTTTCAGTTTCTCTAATCACATAAGAATAAGAGTTCAGATGCTTATCTTCATTTTAGAAGAATCTTCATTTTGGGGCACGCGGGTGGCTCAGTCAGTTAAGTGTCTGCCTTTGGCTCAGGTCATGATCCCAGGGAGCCTGCTTCTCGCTCTCTCTTTGCCCCTCCCCTTGCTTGTGCTCTCTCTGTCTCTCTCTCAAATAAATAAATAAAATCTTAAAAAAAGAAGGATCTTCGTTTTGTGCCTCTCTTAAAAGAACCTGGTTCACCACCTTAGGAGGTCTGTTAGTCTCTCTTTTAACAAAATAGGTAAACTTGATTTAAGCTTGTTTGGAAATCAACATATGGCTTCTTGTTTCTCTTTGCCTTTTTTATACTTATCTTCTACTTTTTACTGTCTGATTAATGATTTCTTAATTCTTAATCTTCACTTCTGATAAAAAATCGCCTAACAGAAGGTGTATTATAAAGTTTTTGTAGTAGTTTTACTTATTAGTACCTTTTTTATAAAAAAGGAAGTGGTGTTCTGGGCAAATAGAGTCTCTAATAGCCAAAACAGGATTGATAAACTTCATTTATTCGTGCAGTATCCATTCTTATAGAACAAATTTTTTTTTTTAAATATTTTATTTATTTATTTGATAGAGACACAGCGAGAGAGGGCACACAAGCAGGGGGAGAGGGAGAAGCAGGCTTTCTGCTGAGCAGGGAGCCCAATGTGGGGCTCGATCTCAGGACCCTAGGATCATGACCTGAGCTGAAGGCAGACACTTAACGACTGAGCCACCCAGGCGCCCCTAGAACAAATTTTTTTAATTGAACAGATGTTTGTGTATTATGGATTTGTAATTAACTAGTAAATTGGTATCTTTGCTTTCTTCCCCTTATCTAATAGGAAACAATAACTCAGGTGGCCCCGTCTCAGCGCCAGCTAACTCAGGAATGTTGGGGATTGGTGGAGGTGTTACTTTGCTACCAGCATTTGAATATAGAGGAACTTGGATACCTATTCTAACTATAACAGTACAAGGCAGTGCAAAAGCCACCTAGTAAGTAGTAGTAGCTTTATTTTGTAATGAATGATGCCATTGGGATTATTTTATCCTAAAATGTTTTTGCATTATGTTTTGAATTTTAAACCTAGTAATTCTATACAAATAATACAATTTAGAACTAATTTTCTCTTGTCACATGTTGAGAATTTTACGTAGGATTGGATTTTGTTGTTTTCTTTTGTACAATTTACTGATGTGTTAGTGTTAACAGTATTGTGAAACAAGATGTGGTTTCTTTACCTGAGGACCTGTTTAGCTGTTTTATATGGCTTTTTGATTTAAGTATATGACTTTGGACTTAGGTCTTCTAATACTAACTTAGTCACCAGCAGCAAATTAGTTAACTTTTTTTAAAATCTCAGTTTCTTTACCTATAAAATGAGAGTAGTGATATATCTACCTTTCAGGATTCTATAGGTGAGAAAAGTTATTTTAACTGTGTAGCTAACTAATTACGTTTTTAGAGTTTAACACACAGTACTTTTAGTTTAATTAACTTAAAGTGTTTAATGGATTCCATATGTGTTATTTTTATTGTTATTAGTTATTTCAGTTTAACAAATACATATTTGGCAGTGTATTGTTGATTTTTCTTAAGTCGGAGTGAACTACAGTGCTACAGAGGTAAAGCAATCAATCCTACATAGATTTGACACTACTGCGGTTACTGTTAGGCGGTCAACTAATACATTTTGAATGCTTGGCATGTATAATTGAAACACTATTCCGATGACAGTAAATCAGAACTCAAAGTGTGAAGCAGAGTCTCTGACTAGTTGTTTGTTTAAATTTGAATATAGTTGACACACATTACATAAGTGTACAATACAACACAGTGATTTGACAAGTTTATACATTATGTTGTGTTCACCACAAGTATAGCTGCCATCTGTTCTCTTACATCACTCTTACAATACCATTGACTATATTCCCTATGCTGTGCCCTTTATTCCCATCACTTACTCATTCCATAACTGGAGGCCTGTGTCTCCCACTCCCCCTCACCCATGTGCCCAGCCCCCACTCTCTGACTAGTTTAGATAAATTTATATGGTATGTCAGTCTGCATAGTATAATCATAGTATTTTGCTGTGCAGCTTTATTTTGCCTAAAATTATGAAAGTATAGAATCATAGAGGACTGAAATATTTAACTAAAATTCATTGTTATTCTTAGTCATTTAAAAGATACTAAAGTTACATAGTTTCATATAAGCTTTTGTTTGCTACAAAGGCTAGTGCTCTAGTAAACTAGACTATCAAATTTAAAAGAAATCAGATTTCTAGCACTGAAGGAGACAATAATCTCATGCATTTCCCCACCTCATTTTTATAAATTGAAAAAACCCCAACATGGAACTAGTTGCCCTCATTGAGCTTACATTTTAGTGAGTGAGATAGTAAAGGTTCAAATAAACATATAATATCACCTTGGGTAGTGGTTAATTCTTTGAAGAAAAAACAAATTAAGGGGATAGAGAGTGACAGAAATGATCTCTGAGGAAACAAGATTGAGCAAAATAACATGAAGGGAGAGAGTGAAGATGTGTGCTTGAAGAAGAAAAATTAAAACAAATGAGTGACGAGAGTAAATACTTGGCAAAGTTATATGAATTACTTTTTTATTAATGGAAGTCTGAAACCAATTGTTCATTGATAATTTAGTCCTTACAAATTAAGCGAGTTGGATTTTACTAGTTCTGCTACTAAATAGTATGATTTTGAGTGTACAGCACATTATTTCACTTCAAGGCAAACTTAGGACTAAATCTCTAAAGGAACATATAAATAGTGGCGTTTTTTTCAGTGCTATAAACACTGAGATTACTCACCTCTGAAATCAAAAATAGCCAGAAAATATTGGGTTTTCTTTTGCACATGGAATAGTAGGTTTCCAATGAAGCCTCCCTTTTGAGTTGGCATCTTTTAGTCATTAATTTGCTGTGAGATTCAGTATAAAGTTATTTTCACTATTTTCTTTGAAGGCATGCATGTAAATCTTGATTGTGTATTCTGTTCTTTTATTGACTTTTTAAGTATATAATCATTTGAAAACTTAGGTAATGCACAGACAGAAGTAGTTTTTACCTAAGTATTGTTGACATATTCTTTCTGATTGATTACACTATGGCTCCTTTCAAAGTTGGGCTTGCGACAGTTTTGCAACTTTACCTTAAATTTAAAAATATTTAAATAAATGGGTTACATTTATCTAAAACTGGTATTTATGTACTATTTCTAATTAAATACCACTGAAATATTGAGGTAAGAAACTGTGGGCTTTGTTTTAGGTTGTGGTATAAATAAAAATAAGCGTAAATCACCTTTTTCTCTTATCTATTCTAGCATTTAAGGTCTTTACCATAGAATTTGGGGATTAGAGTTTGGAATATTTAGAATTACTTTCTTTGTTTTAGATGCATTTTCTCAGTAGATCATTTGTTCTTTGAGAATAGAGATTTGTCTGAAAAAATGCTTAGCACTCATAGGCTTTTTTTTTTTTAAAGATTTTATTTATTTGTCAGAGAGAGAGAGAGAGAGAGAGAGCAAGTGAGCACAAGCAGAGGGAGAAGCAGGCTTCCCACCGAGCAGGGAGCCCGATGCGGGACTCGATGATGACCTGAGCCAAAGGCAGACGCTTAACGACTGAGCCACCCAGGCGTCCCTTAGCACTCATAGGCTTAATGTGTGGCTCTGAAAGGCTCATTGGCTTGGCAACGATTAAACCCATAAACTTTACCTCCTTGTTTGAACTTAGATCTCTTTTGATCAGTAATATAAATATATCTTTATTGATTACCTAAATTTTAAAGTCCTCGGAGCTGGCACATACTAGGGGTTAAATTGATAGGCTTTAGAGTCAGACTTGGGTTAAGAACTGTTGATGGATAACTGTGTCACCTTAGTCCTTAGTTTCATCATCTGTATCTTTTAGGGGTTTGTGAGGAGTTAAACAAGATAATATACATCAAAAAATCCCTTAGAGTCCCAGGCCAAGAGTTATTACACAACAAATGGTAGCTATTTGTAGGTGTTATTGTTTATTCTGAGTTTTGCATTTCTTTACAAATTACCTACCTCCAGTCTTGATTATGATTCAGTGACTTTTAGAATTTGAGGTTGGAAATCTCTTTAACTTACTGTAATCTTTAGTGATTTCAATTTTGTTTTTGAGATGTAATCCACATACCATAAAATTCAGCCTTTCACAGTATACATTTTATGATTTTACTGTATTCAAAAGCTATCTAACAATAATCACCTTTAATTTCAGGACTTTTTCATCATCCCAGAAGGAAACCCATACTCATTATCAGTCATTCCCCGGTCTCCCTTTCCCATTCCCCTAGCAACCACTAACCTATTTTGCATTTCTACTGATTTGCCTATTCTGGATATTTCATATAAATGTAATCATACAATAAATACTCTTTTTTTCAGGCTTCTTTCAGCATGTTTGAAGGTTCATCTGTGTTGTAGGACGTATCAGTACTTCATTTCTTTTTATGGCTGAATAATACTCTAACTTATGGATGTACTGTATTTTGTTTCTCCATCAGTTGATGGGTATTTGGATTGCTTCCACTTTTTGGCTTTTAGAGATAATGCTGCTATAAGCATTTGTTTCAACTTTTTGCATAGACATATGTTTTCATTTCTCATGGATATATACCTAGGAGTAGAATTACTGAGTCATATATTATTCTATGTTTAACTTTTTGAAGAACTGCCAAACTATTTTCCCAACTGACTGTACCATTTTATATAATCCCACCAACAGTGTATGGGGGCTCAAATTTCTCCACATCCTCACCAGTACTTTTACTGTCTTTTGATTATTGTTATAGTCTTTTGATTATAGTCATCCTAGTGGACATTAAATGTTATCTTACCATATTTCAGTTTGCATTTCTGTAAATACTGATGGCATTGAGTATCTCATTCACGTGCTTATTGGCCATTTATATATCATCTTGGGAGAAATGTCTTTTCAGATCCTTTGCTCCTTTTTAATTGGGTTGTCTTTTTATTATTTAGTTGTAAGTGTTCTTATATATTCTGGATCTTTAGTCCCTTATCAGATACATGATTTGCAAAAATTTTCTATTCTGTGGATTGTTTTTCATTTTCTTAATAGTTGCCTTTGAAGCACAATAGTTTTTAATATTGACTACTTCAGTTTATCTATTTTTTCCTTTGTTGCTTGTACTTTTGGTATCCTATCTAACAAATCATTACCTAATGTGAAGTCATGAAGATTTTTGCCTGTGTGTTCTTCTAAGAGTTTTTAGTTTTAGCTCATATATTTAGGTCATTGGTTAATTTTGAACTAATTTTTGTGTATGGTACAAGGTAAAGATCCACCATCATTCATTTATATATGAATATGCAGTTTTTCCAGTACCACCAGTTTTTTTTTCCATTGCATTATCTTGATGGATTTCAATTTTAAGGAATTTAAAACCATAATTCCTTATTTGCCATGATTTAAGACAAAAGATTTGTTATCTTTCTTTTTGAAAGCTTTGTTCTAACCATGGGATAGAAACTGCTCTAAAATTCAACTTTGACATATTAATGCTCTGAGTATTATTCTTATGTTGGCAGGGTGTGTCTGAGATGATAGCTAAGCTAGATATCTCACAGTAATACTTTCTCAGTGTGAAAATATCTTCCTGTTTATAGGATTGATTTGATTTCATAGTACCTTATTTTGAAAGCAACCGAGTCAGAGTTTGAGAAGTTTTATAATCTATTTAGTCTTACTCTATTTTATATGTAGTCTTTATTTCTCTAATATCAACAATTAAAATATTGGCACATTTAGGGGGAGAGGCAAAAAGTAAATTGTTGAAATAATTAGTTATGGCAGTGGTCAGGCCTTAATTTTTCTAATCAGTTTCTTAGAATACTGAGAAAGGATTCCTCCTCCAAATGAAACAAACTCAGTAATGTCCATTGACTTTTCCTATTCTGTTGCTCTTCATTTCTATGAAGTACAAATACTTTTATATATTTTCATTATCATGGCTTTTAATTAGTGTTTTTTCTTAATTTCAGCCTAGAGATGTTGGACAAAGTTGAGCCCCCAACTATACCAGAAGGTTATGCTATGTCTGTGGCATTCCATTGTTTGCTTGACCTTGTACGTGGAATCACTAGTATGATTGAAGGAGAGTTAGGAGAGGTTGAAACAGAATGTCAGACTACCACTGAAGTAGCTTCTTCACCAACACAGTCATCAGAACAGCAAGAATTACAGTCAACATCAGACCAAATGGATAAGGAAATAGGTATATTGATGTCTGTATTTTTAATTTTTATTTTGAAATAATTTGAAATTTACAGAAAATTTGTAGAAGTACTCAAGTTCCCATATATCCTTCACCCTGATTTCCCAGTTGTTAACACTATCCTATTTGTGTTATTCTATTTATATATGTCACTATACTTTTCTCCTGAACTATTTGAGAATAAGTTGCAAATGTAATGCCCCACTACCCCTTAATACTTTTAGTGTTTTCTTAAAAATACGGACAGTTTCCTAACATAACTATAGTACAATCCCATCATAAATTTAGCATCAACCCAGTATTATCTTATCCCAGACCTCATTCAAATTTTGCCAGTTGACCCAATAATGTCTTTTATGTTGGATCACATGTTGAACTTAGTTCCATGTTGCTATACTATCCTTTAATCTAGAACACTTCCTTAGTTTTTTTCTTGTCTTATATGACCTTGACATTTTTGAAGAGTATAGGCTAGTCAGTTTAGGTTTGTCTTTTGTTTCCTTATAATTAGATTCAATTTACTCATTTTTGTTAAGGCTACCATAGAAATATTGCTGTGTTAAACGTAGTCTATCAACATAGCAGGAGCATACAATTATCAGTATGTCTCATTATTGGTAATGTTAACTTTTGTCATTTGGTTAATACGGTGTCTGTCTGGTTTCTTCAGTGTAAGATTAATTATGAACTTTTTGTGGAGAAATACTTTGAGATCTCTACTATAAAGAGAGCTTTCCTTTCTCTCCCATTTTTTTTTAATTTCTCATTTATATTAGTATGGATTCTTAGATTTCTATTTTATTTGAAAGGTTACAATATGATTATCGTTATTTGGTTTAACACTCAGATTATTCCTGATATGGCCAGTGGGAACACTTTCAAACTGGCCACTGTGTCCTTTTAGCATTTTCTGAGCACTATCTCACTATCTGACACAACACAATGTTCCAAGCTCATCTTGGATCTTTCTTGCCAAGCCCAGGAATCAGTTATTTTTCTAAGGAGCCCTCACTCCTTTTAGTTTAGTATTTAGAAACTAACACATGGGTACTTGTGTGCTTCTTACTACTTGAAAAGGAAATACACACACACACACAAACACACACACCTCTTTACATTTTAAAAATGTTTGTCTAAAAATGTCTAAATGAGGTTTCTCCAGTTCTGGTTTAATACCACAAGGCTTATTTTTAACTTTGCATGTTTTCAATTACCTTTTCCAAAAGTGAGAAACTTGGTCCCAGTTTATTCAATGGATTTACTCATTTGCTCGATTCCCAGTGTATAGAAATCAATCTTCTGGCTGAACAGCTTGTTACACTGCCTTTCTCCTAGCTGGTCACAGAGGCTGGAAGTTTGGCTCAATGAAGGGGAAGGGAATAGGAACCGGTATTACACACACACACACACACACACACACACACACACCAGTGTAGGGGAAGGGAATAGGAACTGGTATTACACACACACACACCAGTTAACTTGTGTACTGAACGATCCTACTATTGATATTTTAAAACAACTTAGTTTAAAGACTTAATTGAATTCTGAAACTGGTGTCGTTTTTAAGTTTTCATTTTTTTCAAATGTATTTTAACTATTAGAGCTTTAGTATTTAATAATTGAGTTGATAGAATATGTAATGTATTATCAAATGACTAGGGAGGTTTTAGAATGATGTATTGTCAAATACTATGCCATCTGTAATGATCATGAAGTTTTATATGTTTTTGTCCTTTAAGTTAGTAGAGCTGTTTGGGAAGAAATGGTGAATGCCTGCTGGTGTGGTTTACTTGCTGCTCTCTCACTCCTCCTTGATGCCAGGTATTAAGTCTTTATAATTTTTTTATTGCATATGACAGTTAATAAGAAACAAACATTAAAAGTTACTTAAATTGGTCCTAAAATTATTTCTTAATATATGTTGAACATTATTCTTTTTTTGCCACCTCCCTCTCCTTCATCCTATTCTTGTCCTGCTCCCTACCAGAATAGTTGTCATGATGTTTTAATGGAAAATATAATCCTAAAATTACAGAATGCCTTTTCACTTCAAGCCTTTCTACTACTTTTACGGTGATGATAATTATCAATTCCTTTGATTTATTTTCCATAATGACAGGATTTACTGATTTTTAAAATACTTGATATTTTGGGGCGCCTGGGTGGCTCAGTCAGTTAAACGTCTGCCTTCGGCTCAGGTCATGATGTCCAGGTCCTGGGATCGAGCTCCACATGGGGCTTCCTGCTCAGCAGGGAGTCTGCTTCTCTCTCTCTCTCTCTTTCTGCCCCTCCCTACTGCTCATTCTCTCTCTCTCTTAAATAAATAAAAATCTTTAAAAAAAATGCTTGATATTTTAGGTTAAATCTTTTGAGGGCGTGACCATTTTCTTCAATAATGAATGTATGTATTATATATTGCTTTTACCCAGTTCAGATTTTCAGATATTATGTTGATTAGTTAAAATTCCTTAAGTATATTGATTTTGATAATATTTTTGTATAGATTTTCTTACAACTTCACTGAATACCTAATTCCATGTCATGTTTGCAGTATAATTAAACATAAATTAATCATGTTAAATAAAATACTTTCTCTTTTCAGCACAGATGAAGCTGCCACTGAGAATATTTTAAAAGCTGAATTGACTATGGCTGCTCTTTGTGGAAGACTGGGCCTTGTTACTTCAAGAGACGCCTTTATAACTGCAATATGCAAAGGTTCCCTGCCTCCCCATTATGCTCTTACTGTACTGAATACCACCACTGCAGCCACCCTTTCCAACAAATGTAAGACTTTAGCTTATTCACAGTTTTTTTCATCTAGTGGAATGACATGGTGTAGAGAAAAGATTATAGAAATTCTGAATTCAAGTCTCTGCTGTTTCACTCACTGACTCTGACCTCATTGAGAAGTTAATGACCTGGAGCTTCAATTATTTCTATCTCTTTAAAACAATGGGGGTGCAGGGAGAATAATACCAATTTTATTTTTTATTTTATTTTTTTTAAGATTTTATTTATTTATTTGAGAGAGAATGAGAGAGAGAGAGAGAGAGAGCACATGAGAGGGGATAGGGTCAGAGGGAGAAGCAGACTCCCTGCTGAGCAGGGAGCCCGATGTGGGACTCGATCCCAGGACTCCAGGATCATGACCCGAGCCGAAGGCAGTCGCTTAGCCAACTGAGCCACCCAGGTGCCCAGAATAATACCAATTTTAAACAATAATTGTGAAGATAGAAGAAAATCTGGAAGTTTTTTGTAAACTATATCATACTGTTGAAATGGTGGTTTTTATTTATTTTCTAACAGAACTAGTAGAGCAATAATGCTTGCAACCACTTAGATTAACATTTCAATTTTTTTCTCGTTGAATACTTTGAAAACTCGTTTGTTACATGTAATATAAATATGTTTCAATATGATATTTAGTTTTCAAACTGAAAATGTGAAAACTGGCCTCTAACTTTAACTAGAAAAGTTTATTGGGAATGAATGTTAAAATACTTAATGTGTCCTAATTCTGTTTTGCTTGTGAAGAAGTCTGCCAAAGTTTTATAATTTTAAAAAGTTATATAGAAAATTACTTAAAATTTATTTAACTTATCTTGGTTTTTTATACCTCCTGAGTTTTAAAAATGTTTGCATATAGATAATAGGTAACTACGTAAGTGTCATAGTTGAACTTAGTTTAATCAAATTAATGTTTTAAAATACAACATTACTGGGGCGGCTGGGTAGCTCAGACGGTTAACGCCTCCCTTCAGATCAGGTCCTGGGATCGAGCCCTGCATTGGGCTCCCTGCTTAGTGGGGAGTCTGCTTCTCCCTCTCCCTCTCCCTCTGTCTCCCCCACCCCTGCTTGTGTGCACTCTCTCTCTCAAATGAAAAATAAATAAATAAATAAAATATAACATTACTGGGGCCCCTGGGTGGCTCAGTCGTTAAGTGTCTGCCTTCGGTTCAGGTCATGATCCCAGGGTCCTGGGATCGGGCCCCGCATCGGGCTCCCTGCTCTGCGGGAAGCCTGCTTCTCCCTCTTCCACTTCCCCCTGCTTGAGTTCCCTCTCTCGCTGTGTCTCTCTCTGTCAAATAAATAAATAAAATATTTTTTTAAAAAGAATTAACATTACTTTGAATGCAGTGTGAGAAGTAAATCTTAATTATTTAAGCTTTCCTTTGTGTTCTAGCATATTCCATTCAGGGCCAAAGTGTTATGATGATAAGTCCATCAAGTGAATCTCACCAGCAGGTTGTGGCAGTGGGTCAACCTCTGGCAGTCCAGCCTCAAGGGACAGTAATGGTAAAGTACTTTTCTTATTTTTGTTACCAACTATTTAGTACACCTTTTGTACCTTTTTATGTTTGCCAAATTTTATCACTATAGTTATTTTACTCTTTTTTACCTGGATGATTGATACATTTAGAAGACATTAGCAGTTGACATTATCATAAGCGGTTATGATAACACCACTTTTCTTTTTTCCCCTGAAAAGTAATTTATTTCAATCATCTTTTTAATAGTAACTATCACAGGAGATTAGCTCCAACCAGTGATCATGGCTATAATGTATATCTTACATTAAGGACCAAATTAAAAGAAATATATTCTCCATGATGATGATGATGATGGCAGCTAAGATTTATTGAATTTTGTCTTATATGATTTAATGCCCTCAGCTGTTTACATTCTAAAGAAATGAAATGATGGGTAGAGAGGTTAATTTGACTACGGTTATGGTAGTTCCATGACATGAACTCAGCAAATGTGACTCCAGGCCAATGTCAAACTGTCCTTTATGCAGTCTTAATATTTATTTACAGGTTGATTTTCAAAATCATAATGTAAACCAATATGACATGATACTGGTTTAGCTATACCTCTTTAAACGCTTTTGTTTTCAAGTAAAGTAAAATCTGTAAGCTTTTATATTATTTGTTAAAACTCCTTACTTAACCTTCCCCATCTGGAATTTCTTATGAGACGTTCTAATATATATATGATAACACAACTTTTAAGCAAATTATTTTGTTCTGTAGAAAACCATCCAAAACCATTTTCTTAATATTTTTTTTTATTTAAAAAAATATTTGAATATGATAATGCTGCTTTACAAGAATGTATAACAGTTCTTACAAATATATCTTTTTAAAAATATATATAGCTCACTTCCAAAAATATCCAGTGTATGAGGACTTTACTTAACTTGGCACACTGCCATGGAGCTGTGCTTGGAACATCATGGCAACTTGTCTTGGCAACTCTACAGGTATGTTGTAGGCTCTGGGTCAGAGGTCAGTGTTGTTTTTATAGCTAAGTTCTAGCAGTTAAATTAAGCAATCCCTGTTGGTGCTTTGGGCAGTCCTAAAGAATAGGCAGTAAGTTGGAAGAAGGAAAAGTTAGAAAGGAAAAAAGATGTGGCTTGTATTGTACAAAGTGATGGAATGCTTCTCTTAATGGCTTAAGTTCTACCTCCTATGCTTGGTATAAGAAGTATTGTATATGAATAGTAATTACTAACTTAAATTTAGTTATTGGAAACCTATTTCTGATTTTAATTTTAGTTATTAGAAGTTACTACTGATTTTTAATTTTAGTTATTAGAATTTTTATAATTTTATAAATTTATTTTTTTCCTTTAATTTTACAGCATCTTGTATGGATTCTGGGATTAAAGCCTAGTAGTGGTGGTGCCTTGAAACCTGGGAGAGCTGTAGAAGGACCCAGTACAGTAAGCTCTAGTTAGTTTACTCAATTTGTGCCTCCTGAAATGTTCTTATGTTACATTTAATTGTATTCTTCTCTTAGGTTCTGACAACAGCAGTGATGACAGATTTACCAGTGATTTCCAATATACTTTCAAGATTGTTTGAAAGCTCACAGTAAGAATTAGTTTTTAAAATTGATAGAAATATTATTAGTGTATATTTTAGATCAGAATGTTTTATTTCTTCATTTTCATTATAGGTATCTTGATGACGTATCATTGCACCATTTAATAAATGCACTTTGCTCCTTATCCCTAGAAGCAATGGATATGGCCTATGGAAATAATAAGGTGTGATATTCTATCTCTCTGTTTTAAATATGGTACATTATTGAGTTAAATAAGGTGTACACTCATTATGATCTTAGTATTTTAGTAGTGAGACTAATGCTTACCTTGCAGGCTATCTCAATCCTGTTGAGTAGGGTTGTTATTTGTTGAAGTGGGGAGTGAAGAGGACATGATGTGGTTTGTGATATGTCTAATATGTATTATAATTTTAAACTGTGTCTATTTCTCTTGGGTGCTGAGTATTTTAAGAAACATTTTGATAAAGAATAAAGGCAATACCACATTTATGAATGAGTTCCATAAAATGTCACAATAATATTTGTAATATGATTGGGGCAATATAAGATTTAAATCAAGCAATATATATATGTCTCAGTTTCTCTTGCCTTCGTTGGGATGGAAAATAAGGAGCTAATCATTTCTTTCTAAAGGTAATGATTCTCCCTACCTTGAAAATTAAATTTTTGCTTTGCTCACTGACTAAATGAATAGAACAGTACTTTTGAATATTGACATTCAAGAACATTTGAACAATATGAACATTCAAGAACATTTCTTTCTGTACTGAAAATATCATTTCTATTATATTGGAAAGCACAGGAATATATGGATTTATTTATATTTTAGAAATTATTTAAAATACAGTGTTTTAAAATAAGTATAAAGTGACCATTTACAAATAAGTGAAGATACCCAGAACATGATTAAAAAGCAGAGAATGCAGCTTTATAACTTATTTAACATATACCTGTAAGAATCCAAAATTATGTTGTTTCTGCCTAGACCTAAATTATATTTCTTTATACTGTGGCTTGTCATCTGTAACACTGATTTAAAGATTAACCAATAGGGTTTTATTAGGGAGAAGTTTTGTATATTACAATACATAGCTAGAGAATTACATAAACAAGCAAGTGTTTGAAATATGTATTATAATTTATTCCAAATTAAGGCAAGAGTAATACAAAATATAGTGAAGTAATCAATTTCTTGATATCTTTAGTAGTCCTACATCTTTAAGATTAACTCTTAACACACAAATATATTTTTAATAGAGTATCTTAATTAAATCTGAGCAAGTTTTTGTGGTAATATCTTGAGAATTTATGTATTCACTCAGTAACCACAGTATGTTTACTATGTACTGATACTCTGCTAGGAAATACAAAGGAACTATAAGATTTTTACTTTCAAATAGCTCATGGTTCAGTGGTAGTTAAAGTGGTCTAAGAGTTTAAATAAAGTTATAGATATTAAGTGATGTGAGACTTATTTTCTGAATCCTTAGTGTCTTGTTATGGAAGATGTTTTTAGTGAATGTTTCTCCTAAAGGAATTAAGATTAATCAAGATGAATTAGCTTGTGATTGGAGTTGGATATTGAAGGAATGGTATAATTTAGATAGAAAAGGGCAGTTTTGTGAAAATCAAAGGAGAAAAATGTTATAAGAAGTCAAGAAGAATGAGAATTGAGAAGAAATGGGAAATTTGATTATTATTAGTTTATAGTTAACCTGGAAGAATACAATTTCAAGAGAGTGGTAGGAGTAGATGTGATATTTCAGGGAGGCTTTAGAGGGAACAGTTCTTGAGAATATGGATGCATTGGAATGGAGATTATGTTCCTGAGAGTGGGTTCTCATTTTTCTGTTATAGAATTTAATTTTGTAAAGTGAAGTGGTAAATGAGGAACAGAAATAAAAGTTTATTAAAAGTATTCAGGTATAAAAAATTTTTAAATGGAGGCATAAAAGAGTTTATTTTTTAGTTGTGCTTTCTATAAAAATTATTATAAAATACGCAGATGTTGAAATAAGTAGAAACTTGTATAATTTTCTTCATTGTTTAAAAATACTTTATCAATGTCAGCTTTAATCCCCTATTCTAGGGATTAAAGGTGTATATATCAGTGTCCTTTATTGTAGCTTTAAAGTGACCAGTTATCTCATTTTTGGTCCTCATTTCAGGAATTTGTGCTAATATGTTGAGGAAGTAGCTTATGGTAAAGTTTGCAAATTCTTCCTACAAGAAGGTGGGGTTGATTATATTTGTGTATATCAAGCTCAGTATAACAGTGACAAAAATAAAAAAACAACTGTTGTTCATAGTTTACTATATGTCAGGCACTTACATTATTTTATTTAATCATATGAAACAAATCAGTGAGATTTGGTGGTAGTATCCTCTTTTTTACAGATGAAATATGAAAATAGAGAACTTAACTAATCTCCCTGGGATCACCTATTTGGTAAATGTTAGAGCTTGTATTTGAACCCACATTATGTATCATTCTAGAGCTTTATTCTTAACCACGTCACTGGTGGCTCTGACTTTTGTGTGCATCAGAGTCTGTTGTAGAGTTTTTTCTATTACACATCTGCCTTTGTCTCAGATCATGATCCCAGGATCCTTGGATTGAGTCCCGCATCTGGCTCCCTGCTCAGCAGGGGAGTCTGCTTCTCCCTCTCCCTCTGCCCCTGCTTGTGTGCTCTCTGTCTTGCTCTCTCACTTGTTCAAATAAATAAATAAAATCCTAAAAAAAAAAAAGTCTGCTGTTGAGTTTTTAAAAAATACAAATGCTAGGACCACATTCTAGGCTTCCTGAATAAGAATCTTTGGTTATGAGACATGGACATCAGTACATTCTTTTAAATGCCACATGATTCCTGTGTGCATTTTGATTACAATAAGCAGAAGGAGGAGGAGGAAGTAATACTAGGCAACATTTATGAGGACTTACTATGTGCCAGATACTTTCTAACATATGATTGTTTCTGTATATTATTATCTCCATTTCATAGATTAAAAAAATTTAGTGGAAGTAGTAACTTACTCAGTATTACATAGCTATTAAGTGGTAGAGTTGAAATGAAATCGTAAGCAGTTACAGGCAGTTCACAGGTATCATGCTGTTTCTACAATGATACAGTTTTCTACCACAGAAATTTTTAAGGTGCCCACAACATTAGCACATGCAGGAAGGATCAGTCTGACCATATTTGTCTCAAAACAATACTAGTTCCCTTTCTCATTGTTGAAATGCCAGCAACTGAGGAGAGGGGTTTGTCTTCTATTTCTGCTACTTTTCTGTTAGTGCGTAAACTGACAGCTCTGATATCTGCCATATTCCTGACTTCATACTTCTTTCCCCTGCTCTCCGATGTCTTCCTTATGCTTTATTCATACTTCCTGACATTCACACATAAAACCTGAACATTTGAAGATTACACTCATAAGAGTATATATTAGTCAGTCTGGACTGCCATAATAAATTAGCACAGTCTGGGTGGCTTAAACTACAGAAATGTATTTTCTCATAATTCTGGAGGCTGCAAGTCTGAGATCTAGATGCCAGCATGGTGGTTCTAGTGAGGGCTCTCTTCCTGGCTTGAAAGATAGCTGCCTTCTCACAGTGTCTTCATGTGTGCGGGAGGAGTGCTCAAGAGTGCACTAGCAAGGTCTCTGGTGTCTCTTCTTTTAAGGTGTTAATACTACCTTACTAGAGTTTCACCCTTAAGACCTCATTTAACCTTAATTACCCTCTATAGGCCTTATCTCCAGATATCATTCACTTGGGGGTTAAGGCTTCAACATAGGAATTTTAGGGGGACACAGTTTAAGTCTATGGCAGAATGCATCTTTCCTTCTGGTCAGAAGACTAGCCATTCTATGTGTCTGAAATAAGTTTTGAATTTTTCACTTTTTCCTCATGAAGGCATTCTCTTCCAACCAAATTTTCCAATTAGAAGCTATTCTGGATACTTGGGGGTGGGCAGGAGGGCTTGTCTCATGATAACTGAGGTTCTGTTATAATTATTGCTAACTTTATGCTAATTAGATATTAATTATAGTCATGCTTTTCAGAGTATTATCAGTTTTATTTACATTTGAGGTACTAAAAATTCTTAAAATAGCAAAATGCAATATGTTTTCTCTTTAGGAACCATCTCTTTTTGCTGTTGCCAAATTGTTAGAAACGGGTCTAGTTAACATGCACCGAATAGAAATTCTTTGGAGACCTCTAACTGGCCATCTACTTGAGGTAACTTTTTTTCTTAAACACTGTGTTTACTTTTTGTTAAGAATGAAGACATAAACAATGAACTAATGATTCTGGATAACCATATGAAAAATCAGCATTACCATTTTTTTCCAAGTACTTATACCTATATAATTTATCAAGAACTAAAGTTTTACAATAATTGCTTTGGTGAAGGAATAGGTTGTGGTTTTGTTTTGTTTTGTTTTGTTTTGTTTTTGGCTGAAAATGGGTGATATATCAATGCAATCTCTGAAGACTCCTTTAGCTGTTAGCTTGGGACCTCTTTCTTTTGTTAATACAGTCTCTTGATCCACCTCAGTTTCAGCTAGTTCTGAAACTTCAAGGGCTGAGAGTTAGTAGTAAACACTGTGTCTTTACAGCCTTTCCTGTGATCCTGAGATAGCTCTTCTGCAAAGGGAAAAGCTTGTTTGGTATCACTAATTATAGATAGTACCAGGGAATTTCATCTGAATTTGTATACTCTTGTGTCCAAGTTGGAATGATTGGTAATAATTAGCTACTTCTCAGTAACAGCTGCTTCTGTCAGTCACACATGTCTTCATGTGTGCTTTAGGTTTAGGTTGCCAAGATCATTTTGTATTAGTTGAGTAAGCTAGGAAAGGTATTATTCTTAATAAGAAAAACAAATGTGCTTGTCCTTTTCTTTATTTTTTTTCTATTTTATTGGGATTACTTTTGTGAATTATTAAGGGATAGATTTCTTTATCATGGACCTTCTCACCAAATGGCACAAAAATAAGTTTTTAAGATTTTAGCATAGTATTTGATTATGAGGGTAGGCCTAATTAGGAACCTTAGTGTCAGCTTGCTTCTTTTGTTTACTCTGATGACACAATTTACTTCTATGACATCCTTTTTTTCTGTGACTTGTTTAGTTTCATCTTTTATCTTCTGTCTCTTCTATTGCTTCCTTTGCCCCTTATACAGAAGGTAAGCTAACTTACATTTTAGATATATAATTTTTCATTCAGTCCTTATTGATGAACATTTGGTATAATTTTTAAAATGTAAAAGAACAGGGGTGCCTGGGTGGCTCAGTTGGTTAAATGTCTGCCTTCGACTCAGGTCATGATCCCAGAGTCCTGGGATCGAGCCCCTGCATTGGGCTCCCTGCTCAGCGGGGAGCCTGCTTTTCCCTCTCCCTCTGCCCCTCCCGCTGCTTGGGCTCTCTCTCTATCTCTCAAATAAATAAATAAATAAATAAATAAAATCTTAAAAAGTGTGAAAGAACAGAAAATGTAATGTTTTAATTTTTCTTTTCTCAAATTGATGTGTGATACATAGCTTAAGTATACAAGTTAAATATTTAATTTTTGTTTGATATTTTGGCTTCAGGTCTGCCAGCATCCAAACTCTCGAATGAGAGAATGGGGAGCAGAAGCTTTAACTTCACTTATTAAAGCAGGATTAACATTTAACCATGATCCTCCACTTTCACAAAACCAGGTAAAAAAATTTTTTTTTTTAAAATAATTCTTAATATAAAATCATCATCTCCCATATGTAATTTTTTCTTAATTTATCAACTGGATGATATTCCAAGAATGGGTTTTGTTGCTTACTATTCTATTTTATATGTAGGCCATGGATATCTTACAGAAGGTTGATATGTCTGGATTTTTAGGATTATCTTTATTAAAAATTATAGCAACTTTCTTGTGAATGACGTGGAATTAAAGCTACTAAATTACCTAGAACTGGTCTCCCAGTGTGGAAGTTTCCCTGTTCATACATTGCTGAAGCTTTATTTTGATACCCTACTTTATTAGCCTCCTTGCTTTGGTCCTTAACTGTCTCTAATTTTTTCTCTAATTATCCTTACAAGGGGAGAAAACAAGTACTCGAGGAGACAAGTACAATAAAATAGATTTTTATTTTTAAATACTTTTAAAACTTATTTTATTCTTCCAAAGTTTTTCAGCGCTTTGTCCTGACTTCTGTAATCATTCACCTTTATCTTATACAGTTTTTTTAAAAGTCCACCAAAGTTCTATTGTTTGAAGATTGAGTAGGAATGAGGTATTTAATAGGCATTTCCTTGCCTTCATTATCTTACTGTATTGTAATTATATTACTTATTGAGTACATACGATGTGCCACTAGTGTATTAGCTCTTGGCATAGAATGATAAACAAAACAAAAGATGTATGTTCTTATAGAGCTTATATTTTAGTGATTTCATACCTTTTCCTATTATAGTTTAAGTTTTTTGAAAAGAAAACCCTGATCCGTATCCTTAACATTCAGCTTAATACCTGGCACGTAGTGAGAGCTTAAATGTTTTTTTTTCAGTCAGCAAACCAAATAAGTGAGTCCTTGAAGAGAAAAAAGTTAAAAATGAAGCAAGTGCTTTCAGATACTGAAAGGACCAGAACAGAGTACTTTTTTTTTTTTTTTTTACTCTAATGGATTCCAGTAGTTTTATGCCATCTTTGTTAATGTCTATCATACTTAATTTTTAGGAGTATTAAGAATTTTAAATTTAAATCCATGTGATATACATTAACAGAGTAAATGAAAGGTGATTTTAGAAATTGGAGATTTTTCCTCTCTCCAAATATAGCTAGATATAAATAGATATATTTCCTTTAGTGAGATTAATTTCATATGGGTCTTTAATTAGTGTCTTTTTTTAAAAAAGTTTTTAATTAATTATATTTTGTTTGGCGTCTTTAATTAGTGTCTTTTAATACAGGATCACTCTCCATTTAATCCAAAATCTAACATGTTGAGGATTGGTTTTTATTTTCTCTTACTTTAATAAAAGAGGGCAAAATAAACCTCTGGTGATAACAGAGACTCATATTCAGTGTTTGTTTTAGTAGAAAAGTATCTATTTACTATTATGGTCTCAATGGAGGTGAATGTAAATTTAAAAAGCAGCTGTACATAACATAATAAAATTAAATTAAAAAAAAAAAGCAGCTGTAAAGCCTTCCTGTCTTTTTGAGCCTCTCTTCCTAATTAGTTTCCTGTCCTCTTTTCAGAGGCTGCAATTGCTTTTATTGAACCCATTAAAGGAGATGTCCAGTATTAACCATCCAGATATCCGACTCAAGCAATTAGAATGTGTGCTGCAGATTCTTCAGAGTCAGGGAGACAGTCTTGGACCTGGATGGCCATTAGTGCTTGGAGTCATGGGAGCAATCAGAAATGATCAAGGGTAAGTGTTTTAAAATTAACATCCAAAAAGTAATGAAGAGGGACTTGGTCCTAAAATCTTGTGGAAGTGGTAATTTTTTATGTATGCCCTTCCTGGCTAAGATCTAGAATTGTTTTTCTTAATCCTACCCCCATTGACTATAGTGAATTATCAGGGCTCACCTTTGTTTTGGAAGGATAGAAAAATTGCTGTTTACTCGACATTTGACATTTTTACAAGAATATAAGGTTTATGGGATAAATGCGACAAGCTAACAAATTTTGTAACACATCCAAAGATTGGGTTTTGTATTATTAAAATTAGCATTTGTAAGATGTGAATTAACACTTAGGACTTGACTTCTCTGCAAATATTGGGAAATCTAAGAAATTGCTTTTAAGGGACTTTTTTTTTTATTACGTTATGTTAATCACCACACATTACATCATTAGTTTTTGATAACAGTGTTCCATGATTCATTGTTTGCATGTGACACCCAGTGCTCCATTCAATATGTGCCCTCTTTAGTACCCATCACCAGGCCAACCCATCCCCTCACCCCCCTCCCCTCTAGAACCCTCAGTTTGTTTCTCAGAGTCCATAGTCTCTCATGGTACGTTTGTCTCCCCCTCCGATTTCCTCCCCTTCATTTTCCCCTTCCTACTATCTTTTTTTTTTTTTTAACATATAATGTATTATTTTTTTCAGAGGTACAGGTCTGTGATTCATCAGTCTTACACAATTCACAGCGCTAACCATAGCACATACCGCCCCCATGTCTATCACCCAGCCACCCCATCCCTCCCACCCCCCACCACTCCAGCAACATTTATTGTTCATTTATTTTGTGCCAGTATATTCTAAGTACTATGCTTGCTAGTTACTCTGATTACACAGATAAATAGCTCTTGCTGTAAAAGTAGAATCTTAGGGAAAAGGAACAAGCTCTGTAAGTAGAATCCTAATGAGAATAGTCTCTGTTAGGCTGCAAAAAAGTAGGATTCCAGTGGTAGGGGCCTGTGTCCCTGGACGAAGGCAGAGTCAAAATTATGAAGGACCTTATAAACTATTTGGATTTGTCTTCAAAACATTTGAGAGGCATTTTTAGGAGTTTTAAGCAGAGGAATAGTGTGATTTTATGTGCATTTGAGATGTATCACTGTGACAGCACCATGGAGGGGTGGATGAGAAATGAGAGAACCTGCAGTGTTCTCTAGAAATACAGAGGAAGAGTGATGGATTTGAGCTGCTTAGCAGATTGATTATGGGAGTGAAGGGTGATAAAGGAAATAGAATAAGGAATGACTTCCAGATTTCTAACTTAGGCAGCTTAATGAATGGTGGTATTATTAACTAAGTAGTAAATACTGAAGGAAGAGCAAAATAGACTTACTTAACTTAAGGTAGAACATTTCAATGGAGAGGTCTGTCAAATGTTTGCATCTGTTTGTCTCATTCTGCAGCAGAACTCATACTATCTGGTATGATGACTAGTTGAGGAGTTTTATATGATTGAGATGCTTAGGACTATTATGGAAAATTATTTTTTCTTATTTATTTGTGGTAATAAATTTTCTTAAATACTACAAAATACTGAGATGATTAAAGTGGAAAGAGATCAGCCATAGCTTAAATCAAGCCTAAGTTTCTTCTCCCAGTCTACAATGCAGTTATAAAATAGGGCATCGTTGTAGGATGAAATTAGTCAGTACATGTAAAACATTTAGGAAGTGCATTACATAGCAAACAATAAGTTTTAGCAGTTGGGGCGCCTGGGTGGCTTGGTCAGTTGGGCATCTGACTCTTGATTTCCACCTTGGTTTTGGTTGTGGTCTCAGGGCCATGAGATCAAGCCCTGCATCAGCATGGAGTCTGCTTGTCCTTCTCCCTCCCCTTGCTTGTGTGCTCTCTCTCTCTCTCTCTTTTTCTCTCTCTCTAAAATAAATAAATAAAATCTTTAAGAAAAAATAAGCGTTAGCTATTACAATTCATTTTCATTGTTATTTCACCACTGGAATTTCTCTCTAAAATCAGTTACTTCTTATTCTCTTCATTTGAAATTCAAAATGTACTCGTTTCTTTTACAGACTAGATGTAGAATTTTAAATAAGATATAGATATAAAAGAATGAGGAACTAGTTTTCATTCAGTGAGTAAATTGTGTGTATTTGCATGTGCTAGGCACCATGCTAGATATTGCGGATACAGTGGTGAGAAAGTAGCTGTAGCCAATTTCCTTTTCTCATTAATGTCTGTTTTGTTTGACTAGTTGATACAAAATTCTTTATTTTTATTTATTAATTTGTTCAAGTATGGCTTTATCTTTTACAGTTATGTAAATATTGAAATACTGTATGATCTGTATTAGGGAAGTTCAATTTTTAAAATAGAATTTAACTTGGTTAAAATTATTGTAAGGTGTGTCTTTTTACTTACATTTCTTTTAAGTGCATGAGTATAATTTTTTTCAGAGAATCCTTGATACGAACTGCATTCCAGTGTCTTCAGTTGGTCGTGACAGATTTTCTACCAACAATGCCTTGTACGTGCCTGCAGATTGTTGTAGATGTTGCAGGTAGCTTTGGACTTCATAACCAAGAACTTAATATTAGTTTGACTTCAATAGGTTTATTGGTAGGTATTATTGTCTTTCTTGTGATCATATGATTTAGAAATCACTGTTATGCTGTTGAGAGTGAATGCTAGGAGAATAGGCTTTTGGCTTTAGAGGGGTTGTTTAAATGACTTTTAAGTACTAAACTTCTATTTTGCATGAAGGGTTAAATGACATACTTTAAGAATTATTTCATTAATAGAATATTTGGAATAATTTTGATATATTGAGCTGAAGTTTAGCTTTAAAAGGTTTGTCATGAGAGGATTTAGTAAACAAGTGATAGTACATACAAGGGAAGTATTCAGTTGATGCTAGTGTAAAGATGAACTGATTTTTAATATTGTTTCAGGAGCAACATTTCCATATATTACTTATTTAGTAAATAAAGCTCCAGTAAAAGGCTTTACTGTATACACAGGGCTTTGCTATATACACAGTCCTATAGTTTGTCAGCATTGCTTTATTAGCTATTAGAAGGCATATGTTAATGGAAGAGGTTTGACTGTGGAAACAGATATACTTGCATTTTAAATCTGTGTGCCTCTTGTTAATTGTTTAATTATTGATGTTTTGATCCTCATTTTACTCATCTTGAATGTAGAAAGAAGTAGAATCTAAGTTAGGATATTATTAATATTACATAAGTAAACAAATAGAAAGCTCTTCCCAATATGAATGTATTTAAAGGCAATTATTTAGACTCTTAAATGTTTATTATAAGCCAGAAGTTTTCAAAGTCAAACTTAAATATCCCTTACAAGCTGGATAAGTTACTATTAAAAATGTAATTATAGGAAAGAAAGTAAGCACGTGTATAGAATTGTTCCCAAAGAGTAGTTAATTCAGTGTTGATTAAATTACTGCTAGGTGTCACCTCCTTTATATTTATATTCATAGGATTCTCTACATTTTTATAATTGGCATAATTCTCATTAATTCATACACCACATACTGTGGTTGAGAATGAAGTCATAAGATATATTTGGATATAGTAATTATTCTTATGAAATTATAAAATATCATTAAATGATTTTAAGGAATTGTTAATAATTTTTGTGGTGTCATAATGGTATCATGGTTATTTTTTTAAAGCCTTTATCTAGTGGGAATTATAAAATTTAGGCACGAGGTAAATACCACAGAATGTTAACAATTGGCTTTCTGTGTATCAGTATATTGATACATTTTCCCTGTTTTTCTGTATGTTCTTGAAATGTTTCATAATAAAAATGTTTGAAAATATTCATGTTAGCACATGATTGTTTCCCCAAATTCTCCTGAACTCAGATGGAGACATGTGACAGAGATGTTTTCAGATCTGTTCTACTAGAAAAGAAATTACTGAAGTGGCTATTAAAAGTTTTATTCTGAAAGGTAAAGCAACCATGTGTTGCATATTTATGTGTTTAAAATAAAATCTGTGAGTGAAATGGCATTTTTCTACTTTGCTTTTTAGTGGAATATTTCAGATTATTTTTTCCAAAGAGGAGAAACTATTGAAAAAGAATTAAATAAAGAAGAGGCAGCACAGCAAAAGCAGGCAGAAGAGAAAGGAGTTGTTTTAAATCGGCCTTTCCATCCGGCCCCACCTTTTGATTGCTTGTGGTTGTGTCTTTATGCAAAATTGGGTGAACTCTGTGTGGACCCCCGCCCTGCTGTGAGGAAGAGTGCAGGACAAACTCTGTTTTCAACAATTGGTGCGCATGGAACTTTATTACAGCACTCAACGTGGCACACTGTTATTTGGAAGGTATTGTAGATTAGCTTGAGTTACTAGCTTTTGAGACAAATTTCTAAATTTTTCAAATTATCTCGTTCCTATTAATTTTTGAAGAAGAATTTCCATGCGTTTGTGCTTTTGACAAAACAGAATGTTAGTTTTGTCATACTTTTAAGTTTTACCTCACAGAATAAATTACATATTGAAAGCCTATTCTCTCTTTTTCTGTCTTCATCTCCTACTATCTCTGTCTCTGACTTCTGCCTTTGCCTTTCCCTTTTTTCTTCCTGTTTCCCCAAAACCACATAATTCAAATGTAACCACCTGAAAATTTTATAAATAAAAGAATATCAACAATAGTGAAATATACTTGCAGGATCACCAAACAGAAGTAACCTCTAATTGGTAAATTCTGTATGTTTGTTCATTAAATATACAGTTTCATTTTTTTCTTTTTTCTTTGTTTTTTAATATTTTATTTTTAAGTAATCTCTACACCCAACGTGGGGCTCGAACTCAAAATCCTGAGACCAAAGTCACTTGCTGTACAGAGCCAGCCAGGCACCCCTTTATTTTTCTTTTTCATCCTGTTTTTAAAAACTTCCTACGGGGTATCTGGGTGGCTCTGTTGGGCATCCAGCTCTTGATTTTGGCTCAGGTCATGATCTCATGGTTGTGAGATCGGGCCCTGCATCGGGGACTCTGTACTCAGCATAGGGTTTGCTTGGGATTCTCTCCCTCCCTCTCCTTCTGCCCCTCCCCCTGCTTTTATGTGCAGGTGCACTCTCAAAATAAATAAATATTTCTAAAAAACTTTCTACAAAGCCAACAGCTTATTAGTGAGCATCCCCTCTTTGCTGAAAGCTCTCCTTTTTTGTTCCATCTATTCTGTTTTAATAAAAATCTATCATTTCACCACTTTTGTAAATTTCCGAGATCAGTAAGTTTGACAATAGGCTGCATAGTAGATCTTAATTGTATTTAACAATTTGTCTTCAATTTAATAAAAATATTCCAAAATGTCTTCTTAAAAAATTAATAATGCATATCCACTAATAAAAATAATTAAAATTCCTTCTCCGTCCTGTGTGTTCTGTTTCAACTCCATCCACTGGCTCCTCCTCTTCAGATCACAAACATGCTTAAGCCTCCCTTACTATTTTAAAAAACAAACTGATATTTTCTCTGATTCCTATTTTCCTTTTAAACAGCTTAATTGTTAATCTTGCTGCCTAATTGTCAGTGATTTTTTTTCTTTCCTCTCCTCCCCTGCATTCTCCTGACCCTTTAATATGATTTCCAGATCATTCTACTTCAGAGTTTCTTAAACCTTAAGGTAACAGAATGACCTAGAGGACTTGTTCAAGCACAGATTGCTTAGCCACCAGCCCTTGCCTCCCAGAATTTCTGATTTTTCTGAGCCCTCTGGCTTGGGGCCTGAGAATTTGCATGTCTATGAATTTCCTGCGTGATGCTAATGCTGTTGGTTCTGAGACCATATTTTGAGAACCACAGAAATTGTTCATAGGCTACAGGTGGTCTTCTGATTGCCAAGATTTGCACCCTAAATTCAGTTCTTATCCTACTCATTTTTATTTTTTTTAGCATTTAACGCTGTTGATTATTTTCTCCTTAAAATTTTTTCTCCCTTGGATTCTGTTTCACAGAATGCTTCTGCTTGTCTTTCCAATTTTTAAAAAATTTTTTTCTTCATTTCCCTCCCCTGAATCTACTCTTCAAATGTAAACATTCTTCAAGTCCCAAACACTTGCTGCTTGATTTTTTCTTCCTTCTTCTTTTTAATGTAGGCTCCACGCCCAATGTGGGGCTTGAACTCATGATCCTGAGTTCAAGAGTCATGTGCTCTAGCGACTGAACCAGCCAGGCGTCCTGTTGCTTGCCTGAGCCTTCAGTTATAACCTCTCCACAGATGTCTTCCATAATTACATTTTTATGGACTTCTTAGCTTCATTCCCTTCCTGTATATTACCCCATAGATGCTCTATTGATACCCCAACTCAACAAGTCCTAGAAATATTCTATACAATTTAAAAGTTTTTCATATTCTGGAACGCCTGGGTGGCTTAGTGGGTTAAGCATCTACCTTTGGCTCAGGTCACGATCCCAGAGTCCTGGGATCAAGTCCTGCATCAGGCTCCTGGCTTGGCGGGGAGCCTGCTTCTCCCTCTGCCTGCCACTCCCCCTGCTTGTGTGCTCGCTCACTCGCTCTCTCTCTCTAATAAATAAAATCTTTAAATTTTTTTCATATTCCATGGATAATATCTCTACTGTTAAATTTTTGATCGGGGATTGATCTGTCAGGTGTAATTTCTTGTGACAGTTTCTAACTGCTGTGCTGTTACTTAAGCTATGTTATTTTTATGTGCATTTTTATAAATATTCAGGTTCTCTTTCATCTACTGGACCGAGTTCGGGAGTCTTCTACCACTGCAGACAAAGAAAAGATTGAGTCTGGAGGTGGCAATATTCTCATTCATCATTCAAGGGACACGGCAGAGAAGCAGTGGGCAGAGACCTGGGTTTTAACATTGGCCGGAGTGGCAAGAATCTTTAACACTAGAAGATACTTACTGCAACCTTTAGGTATATATACATCCCCCCCCCCCAGTTACATAAATAATTCATGTTAAAGGAAATTTGGAAAATACAAAAGATCTTTAAAAACTTTATGTACAGTGCTACTTTCCAAGAATAATCAGTCTTAACTGCCAGTCTTTGTTGATGTGTGGTGTGTGCATGAGCATACACGTTTTCACTCATTTCATTGAGAAAATATGTAACGTACATCATATGGGCTAGCCATATGTGAGTAAAACACACAGCATCCTTGTTATCATGGGCCTGAGGGAATAACTATAATTACCTAAATGCAAAATTAGTGATAAATGTTACAGAGGAGTGATGCTTTGTAAGCTTATAATACGTAATTGACCCAGCCTATGAGATCCAGGGAGGCTTCTCTAAGAAAGCAGTATTTTTGCTGAGATCTGAAGGGTGAGTAGTAGTTCGTCAGGCAACGGTAAGATGAAATGTGAGGAGGTTTATAGGCAGAGAGAAGTGTACATGTCAATAGTACTGAGATTAAGAAAGCCAGTGTAGATTGTACCTTCAGTTCTGACGGTGGTGATGGTGGTGGTAGAGAAAAATGAACCAAACAGAAATACTTTTTTACATAATTATGAGTATGTCATACATATTCTTGCATTTTTACAAGTTACTATTTTACATTTGGCTTTTTTGTCCTTGTTTATGTTAAAGCATAAGCATATTTATCCTTTCCATCAGCATTTTTGTGTAATGTTCTTCATGCATTTTTCCTTTTTTTCCCAAAAAATAATCTGTAGTGTCTGATCCATTTTGCACTCCTAGAGCTTAATATATAATATATATGTAAAAATCCTAGTTTTTAATTTTCATGTAAAATTTACATAAAATGAAATGTACCAGTCTTTACATTTGCTGAGTTTTGACAAAGTAAGCATCATTTTTAATAGTTCCATGATAGTTACTTTATTTGAAAAGCTAAAACCTAATAAAGATCTAGTTTTTTAAAAATGAAGACACAAGGCGGTTTGTGTAGCTTTGATAATTTTTTTATAATTCGAAGATGAGAAAATTTTTTTATTATCTTAGAATAATGTTCATATTTTTAACATAACCATGTACAATATATAACTATACCTGGTCTTTTAGAAAGAGGACTTTTTTCTAGACATAGAGTTACATTAATAGAGGAATTGCAGGGTTTTTCTTCCTGTGGTATGAAATATTCTGAGATTAAGTCACCATTCTGGTTGGTAAATGTATGTTTCATCTGACTTTTGAACTAGGATGGTAACAGACAGAAGTGTTTTGTTTAGCTGTTTTGATAGTTTTTAAATGTAATATGTCAAAACTCTTTGAACAGTTTACTAAAAAAAAAAAAATCTGTGTTTTCAATTGTATGTAAATTATACCTCACTTTTTAATAAAAGAAAGAGTGGAGAGGAAGAGGCATGTAACTGGCCAGGTATTATTTTTTTGTCCTATATAGGCAGAGTAGTACTTATTGTTCCATACCAGGACTACTTCCAGTTTTCCTACTAACTGAATGCTTCCTTAGGCATATGGGTTTATCTCTTTTTTAAAAATTTAGTCATTTATAGCCTTTGGGAAGTGACTTTAAACCTTACTATGTACGTATTTCATAGCCTACATATGTCATCCTGCTTTGGAAAATAATCAATTCTTCTGATTTTGGTGTTATTTAAATGCAAGTATGTGGGGCCCCTGGGTGTTCCAGTCAGTTAAGCACCTGCCTTTGGTTCAGATCATGATCCTGGGGTCGTGGGATCAAGCCCCACATCGGGCTCCCTGCTCAGTGGGGAGTCTGCTTCTCCCTCTGCCTCTAACCATCCTCCCTGCTCGTGCTCTTGCTTGCTCTCCCTCTCTCTCTCTCAAATGAATAAATTAAAAAACCTTAGAAGAAAAAAGTAAGTGCAAGTACGTGGGTAATAATCCACGGTACTAAAGCCATTAGGCTAGATTGCTGGAGGAACAAGGTCATTTTTTGCTGGGCTTCATAGAAACAAACTACATGTTGCTATAAAGAGCTTCAATATAAATGTGCTTAATTGGTCATAGGAGTAGAACAAGAGATTGGATTGACCAGTGGAAACTAACAACTACCATTCAGCCCGTGCTCTGCTGATGGTGGATCAGCAGACTCAGTTCCACATGAGAGGAAAAAATTTAGACTCATTCTAAAAAGGCAGTCTGTTCTTTATGGTACATTTTCTCCTGGTGACTCCTTGTAATTGGGAAAAAATGTTTAAGAAAATTCTGCAACAAAAAAAAAAAAAAAAAATTCTGCCACTATAAGTTATGTAAATATGAAAACCAAAGTGTAAAGTTAAGATTTTATGAGCATAGCATAGTTTAAACATTTAGACCTATAAAAAACACGTATTATTCAGTTATAATTTGTTAACTTTTCCAATATTTTTAAGAATGAGAACATCTTATTTTTAATCATTAATAAAGATGGATAGATCAAAGTTGTAAAAAGCTTTTGTTTTTACCCTCTTAAGTTTTATTCTGTTCTCCTTAGGCAGAAATACCAGGAAATAGTGTACACGTGTACATACATTTATAGAGTTCTGTTTTTAAGACCAAAACATTGATATATTCATTATCCTCTTCTTGGTGCCCTTTATTCCTGTATTTGAAAAAAAATTTTTACTGGAGTTTGGGTTTCATTGATTTTAATTCACATTGTTTGTACCTTAATACCTAAGCATATTTTCCTAGTTATATAGGAATTTAAGTAGAAAAATAAAGCAAACATTCCAGAGTGTGCAGTAGTAAGAGAAATCTTGACTACTTTGATAGATTTTGTTTTTCTCTTCCTAATATAGGAGATTTTTCAAGAGCATGGGATGTTCTCCTTGACCATATACAGTCAGCAGCACTCAGCAAAAACAACGAAGTATCTCTGGCTGCACTGAAAAGCTTCCAGGAGATTTTACAGATTGTGTCCCCTGTCCGAGACTCAGATAAGCCCGAGACACCACCTGCAGTTAATGTACCTGTGCCTGTCCTTATAGGGTCCATATCAGGCCCTGGCCTGAGCAGGCCATTTGTAAGAACAGATTCCGTTGGAGAGAGACTTGGAAGATATAGTAGCTCTGAGCCACCCGTAGTTACCGATGAGCTTGAAGATTTGAATCTCTGGTGGGCTGCATGGAATACCTGGTATAGAATCGGATCGGAAAGCACTAAGCCTCCTGTTACTTTTGACAAACTGACTTTCATTCCCAGCCAGCCTTTCCTTACAGCTTTAATTCAGATATTTCCAGCTCTCTACCAACACATAAAAACTGGTTTCAACATGGATGACTTGCAAAAGCTGGGAGTCATATTGCACAGTGCTGTGTCAGTCCCAATAAGTTCAGATGCATCCCCTTTCATTCTTCCATCTTATACTGAAGCAGTTTTGACAAGTTTACAGGAAGCGGTGCTTACAGCTTTAGATGTTCTCCAAAAGGTAATAGAATTTTAGTGGCTCTCTAAACAATAATGCATGTGGTTCACTGGAAGTTTTTTAGTTTGCTGTATATTTTTTGAGATAAATTCGGGATCATCAGGATTGTTGAAAATGTATACTTTGTGTAAATTCAGTATTGTAAACATCCAGTTATTTTAAAAACATACGGTTTTTTGATGTATTTGAAAAGGTGATTCAGGTTTGTTTTGAGAGTCTTTCAGAAACTGTATCCTCTTGTTTCCTTTCACCAGCATTTTTGGTTTGATCATGCAGCTCTTTACAAGAGGATATACTTTTCTGAATAACAACTTTAGTAAAGTACTTCTTTTTTTTTAAAAGATTTTTATTTATTTATTTATTTGTTAGAGCGTGGGCAAGAGAGAGTGAGCGAGAGCACAAGCAGGGGGAGCTGCAGGCAGAGGGAGAAGCAGGCTCTCTGCTGAGCAGGGAGCCCGATGCAGGTCTTGATCCCAGGACCCTGGGATCATGACCTGAGCTGAAGGCAGCCGCCCAACCAACTGAGCCACCGTGGCGTCCCGTAAAGTACTTCTATAATTAGAAAATTAATAAGCTATGGGATCATATGTATACATATATATTCATTGTACTTAAATTTAGCTCTGGAATTGTTAGAAGCCTAAATTTTAAAAAAGAAGTAAGAATAAATTTATAAAGTATTTTCCTCACAGAAATTTTAAAAAGAGATATATCTTTTTTAAATTTTATTTTATTATGTTATGTTAATCACCATACATTGCCTCATTAGTTTTTGATGTAGTGTTCCATGATTCATTGTTTGTGTATAACACCCAGTGCTCCATTCAATACGTGCCCTCTTTAATACCCATCACCAGGCTAACCCATCCTCCCACCGCCCTCCCCTCTAGAACCCTCAGTTTGTTTCTCTGAGTCCATCGTCTCTCATGGTTCGTCTCCCACTCCGATTTCCCCCCCTTCATTTTTCCCTTCCTACTATCTTCTTTTTTTTTTAACATATAATGTATTATTTGTTTCAGAGGCAAAGGTCTGTGATTCATCAGTCTTACACAATTCACAGCGCTCACCATAGCCCATAGCCTCCCCAGTGTCTATCACCCAGCCACCCCATCCCTCCCACCCCCCACCACTCCAGAAACCCTCAGTTTGTTTCCTGAGATTAAGAATTCCTCATATCAGTGAGGTCATATGATACATGTCTTTCTCTGATTGACTTATTTCACTTAGCGTAATACCCTCTAGTTCCATCCACGTGGTGGCAAATGGCAAGATTTCATATTTTTTGATGGTTGCGTAATATTCCAGTGTGTGTGTGTGTGTGTGTGTGTGTGTGTGTGTGTGTACACACCACATCTTCTTTATCCATTCGTCTGTTGATGGACATCTTGGCTCTTTCCATAGTTTGGCTATTGTGGACATTGCTGCTATAAACATCGGGGTGCATGTACCCCTTCGGATCACTACATTTGTATCTTTGGGGTAAATACCCAGTAGTGCAGTTGCTGGGTCGTAGGGTAGCTCTATTTTCAACTTTTTGGGGAACCTCCATACTGTTTTCCAGAGTGGCTGCACCAGCTTGCATTCCCACCAACAGTGTAGGAGGGTTCCCCTTTCTCCGAATCCTCACCAACATCTGTCGTTTCCTGACTTGTTAATTTTAGCCATTCTGACTGGTGTGAGGTGGTATCTCATTGAGGTTTTGATTTGGATTTCCCTGATGCCGAGCGATGTTGAGCACTTTTTCATGTGTCTGTTGGCCGTTTGGATGTCTTCTTTGGAAAAATGTCTGTCCATGTCTTCTGCCCATTTCTTGATTGGATTATTTGTTCTTTGGATGTTGAGTTTGATAAGTAAAAAGAGATATCTTACCTAGTGTGTTTTGTTACTGTGAAAAAGTTATTAAGGAGGGCACGTGATGTAATGAGCACTGGTTATTGTATAAGATTGATAAATCACTGACCTCTACCTCTGAAACCAATAATATATTAGATATTAATTAATTGAATTTAAATAAAAAATTAAAAACCAAACAGCAAAAATAATAAATTAAAAAAATTAAAAATAAACAGACCTAAAAATCATTGAGTAAATCCCAGTTAGCAGGCAAGACCAGATCAAAATCAAAGAATTCTTTAAACTATCGAGATAATTGTTAGCACAGTTCACAACAACCATAATGCTAAGAGGAAAAATGCCAACCGAGGAGCCAGCAATTCCAACAAAGTTGCTATGACATTCTAACAAAATTAGAATGGAACTAGACTCTGATTACACATGTGTTAATCAGATTTGTGTACTGCAAATCATGTTTTCTAATTAACTGATTGCATTATATCCAGCTGGAGTGATGAAAACTTTCACAGTAAAAGTAGTGGTTTCTGTTACACCATAATACCTCTTCATTGGCTCTGGAGGAAGTCCAGCTGAGTAGTAATTCCTTGATCTTTTTAACCCTAGTTACGTTGTGTAGAGAAACAAATTGTGTAGAAACTTAAAATTTAAGAGAATCTGACATTTAAGAAACTTTATTGTAGGGTTATCAGCTTTCAACAATTGAAACCAAAATAGCTATTTTTATTTTCAGTGGAGAAATAAAAGTAGCCTGTCACTACCTATTTTTTACCCCTTGATTGACCATGCACATAGGTTGCTTATGGAGTGTCCTGGAGGAAACTGAAAGTTATTCTGTCAGAAAAGCAAAGGAAAGCACAGGCCTTATGGGATGTCCGTAATCTAGAACTCTCATTCAGATGTTTGATTCAGGTTTTTATAAACCCAAACCTCCAAAATTTTTTTCAAGGAAGAAAAGTACATAATTTTGTTTTTAAAAACTCTGCTTTAACAATGACAGAACGAACAGAGTCATTTATTCCAACTACTAGGAATTTGTTCTGAGCTTTTACTGGCTTTGAAAACAGTATATACATACCTTCAGTCTGAAACCTAGGAAGCTTTATTGCTGTTCATTTATATCAGTTGGTATCATTTTGCATTACTAATTTTCACTCTAGCTGTTCTTTATTACTTATGTGATTATCTAAATGATATTTCATAGTACTTGAATATGAGTAAGCATGTGGTGTCTTTAATATTTCCTAATAGAAAAAATTAACATATTTCATTATCAATAAAAGTGTTTGTGTATTTTCTCCCACAGGTGTCAGAAAAGTTTTTTACAGCACAATTTACTTACTTTGGGACTTTATCCTTAAATTAATAAGCTATCCAATGAAACATTTTATTGATTAAAGATCACTTCCTGCGTAAAACCTCATTTTTGATTTCACGTTTACCCTTATATAGTTTAGGGCTTCAGGGTCACAGTCTTCACTTGGTTCTTAAATCACTAGTTCCCACCAAATTGACCTAGTTATGTATGCTAATTGATTTTTTTTTTTTTTTGGCCAAGATATTTTGGCATGTGTTGGACCTGAGAATTTGATTATCTGTTTTCCCTAAGTTCTAAGATCAGGAGACTGCATCTGCCTTATTTATTGCTAAACTTCCTAAAGTCAGTGGCTGGATACTGTATCTGCCTGCCTCCATCATCAAGGCTGCTAGAGTAATACTCCAGGGAACACCATCACATTGTGTGTGGATGGTGCCCTTGGAGTTGTGCAATGAAGCCCTGCCTGCTAGTCAGTGGGGCAAGTTTTGGAATCTCTTTATATATCAGCTTCTTAATCTATTAATCTATAAAATAAAAATAATAGATCTTCAGCTTTTTTCTTATTAAATGGGATTTATAAGGCATTTACTGCCTGGCACAGTTAAACTAAATGTTAGCTGTTACTGTCTTCATCATCAAGTTCCCCTGTCAAAGGTCTTAGTATATGAGGGGAGAGGGCAAAAAAGTCTTAATAGATATAGGTACTGAAGGAATTATTGTTGAAGGGCTTAAGAGAAACCTTGAACCATGTCAGAGTTTGGATGTCCATTTACTGTTCTTGCTTTCACATGTAGTTTTCAAACTGGAATAATAGGAAATATCTAGATAACTGACTGATTCTTAACTTTTGGAGTAAAATCTGTTATCAGGTTCATACTATAGTTTTTTTCTGATACACAAACTTAAGAATACTGAAGAAAAACCAGTAATAACTTTTTCTTAGATGGAGTTTGTTTAAAAAAAAATGTCAGTTTCATATTATGCATTTTAAGATCTCAGAATTGCTTATTAAGTCAACTATAATGCTACAGTATGTTTCTTTTTATAAAGGACCACTGAAAATCAAAGTGTGTAGTCACAGTCATTATTTGGTGCTAAGATATTTCCAGAGAAATGGTAATACTTAGTTTTCTAAGGTAACCACACAGGCTTTTTCTCTTTTTTATTAAGAATCCACTTGGTATAATTATTTCTTTTCCACAGTAATTACTGCTTGTTTACTTCTAAGAGTTACAACTCAGCAAGAGGTTAGTAAAGAAGAAAGTGAAATTTACAGAATCAGTCCTTAGAGTGAATGTTTTTAGGCATTCAAGTTCTCTGTTTACTGTTACTGAGAAAAAGAACCAAATATTGAGAGATAGTATTAGATATCTTTATTCTACTGTTTTACATTGTAATTATAAGATGATCTAACTTAGGTATGGCAGCACTTTGCTTATCTATATTTCAAGACTTTAAAACTTAAGTCATAACTAAATGGTTACATCTTCTCTCAGGGAAAATAAAATTAATGTATTATCTGACAGGTTTAAAAAGCCATGGGTTGCAGAAAAACATAAATGTGTGCATCTTTTTAAAGAATATTCCTTAAAATTTTGAAATGCTTTGAATTTTGATTTAGTACTTTGAGGGTACCTCAAGTGCAGAATGACCATGCTTTTTGTTTTGTAAAGCACAAATTTATTTTAGACATTATGTAAATAATATCATTAAATATTTTTCCCACAGAGAAAAAGAAACACTAAAATATGTGAAAGGACAAGAGGAGAAAACACATTTGTGGCTAGAAAAAAATGAAAATATAAGATTTATTTTAAGTACTTTCAACATACCTGAAGTAATTAAAATCTGCAGTGTCAGGATATGCAATTTGTTTTATCAATTTGTTTTATCAAATTGTTTATAGCAATAGGTTTAGTTTCTATTAATTTTTTAAAGTTTTCTTGTTTTAGATCAAGTCTATATATTCAGATACATTAGACATTAAATATACACTGCCCTGTTAAAAAATTAACATATACATTTCTTTTAGAAACAGATTTTCATCCATGGCTTATTTTCCCCAGCTATAATACACAAGTCAGAAGACTAAGCATAGTGCAGAAATCAGCTGTCATTTCATTGAACTGATACTATCACTTAAATAGAAGTCAATTATCAGTCAATATAATCTTGGTCATTGAAGCATTCTTGATGGTGTAATGGTCCTGAACCGATGATCCGCCCATGGAACCTCAGGACTGCCTGGGGCTCCTCTCCAAGTGCTTGCCCTTTTTCCAGTCTGTTAAGTCATAAATCACTTTCTATTAAAAACATTTTGTAGCTCATTAACACATTTGGCTTATACTTTATTCAATAATAGTTTAAAATAGCTTGTAATAGCTATGTCCTTCAGGGCTTATAAAAGATTGTATAATACTTATATAAAATAGGACAGTTTTTAAGATTCTTTGGGTAAATGCATATACAGTGAAGAACTTAACTGGAGTTCAGGTTATGCATTCTGCTGTTCATATTTTGCTTTTATAGGCCATCTGCGTGGGGCCAGAAAACATGCAGATAATGTATCCAGCTATATTTGATCAGTTACTGGCATTTGTGGAATTTTCCTGTAAACCTCCACAGTATGGACAGCTAGAAACCAAGCACATTGCAAATGCAAAATATAATCAGGTAATTTCATTTAAATTGTATTTTCTCTGTGAGATTTCATGGCTTATAAACAGTTCCACATAAGATGGAACTTTTTCATTTACAAATAAACTTTCATATGTCTGTTAACAGTTTAAGCTCAAAAGAAACACTATTTGGAAAATCTTTTCTGTGTTCCTTTTTTTCTTGTTTATAACTTTCCTTTCCCAAGTAGTTCTCCAGAAAGTTTGGCCTTTCATGTTACGTTTTTCTTCAGAGTTCCTTTCTTGACTGCCCCATCCCATTACAAAATGGCTTCTAAACCCCTAAGCCTAATCTTGTCTAAAATAAATGCCTGCAATGCAAACCGAAGACATCTGTGTGTACTAAATAAGTTGTCTACTGCTGGTGTGAAATTTAGTTGGATTTTACCTAAAAGATTTTTATAGCCATCATTGGCAAATTTTGGCTTAGGGGAAAAGTAAATTTCTGAATGCATGCACAGGCTGATTTTGTTCACTCAACATTAAATTAAAATTTTACATGGTCCGAAAAGTAGTTTTAATGTGTATTAACTTTTCTCATTCTATTTGTCTTGCAACACAATGGAATCACAATAGATCCAACTATTTGCACCGGTGAGTTAAATTTCCTGAAATTGTCCTAACCTGTTGGCAACAAGTAAAGTACATCTTTCCCATTTCTTGGTAGAATGCTCTCTCTGCTTTTTCTGATAGTTTTAATTTTTGCCTGGCTGAAAATCGTTCTTTCATGAAGTACATATCTGTTTGAAAACTTTGCATGTAATATAATCTGACCTAAAACCAAGGACTGAACTTTAAGACAAAGAAGGTTTCTCTTTGAAAACAATATAATTTAACTTAATCTCATTTATTTTTAACTCCATGTGAAAATATTACTTTTTAGGCGGAATGGGTAGCCTTGAATTATGTACCGTTTGCTGAAAGGTCTTTAGAAGTAGTTGTGGATTTATACCAAAAAACAGCCTGTCACAAAGCAGTCGTGAATGAGAAGGTACTCCAGAATATTATTAAGGTATCTTTTTCTTTTTAATTTCTATTCTTTGATGATGACACTATTACTGAAATTACATTTTAGGTAATAATATATTATCATATATTGAGATAAATGGAAAATACTTATATTATTATTTATAGGGACTTTTCTCCAACATTCATGGATAGTATTTAGGAAGCCAGTCCCAGTATGAAAAGTTTTTTTTTTAACGAAAAGTATTTTAAAGTAAGTGTGCATTAGATTTTTTACAGTTCTTTAATTATGCCACAAGTCAATGAAGGATCCTGTTTCTTAGGACAGTAGAATACTTCAAGGTTGATGAGCATTCAGGGAGAAATGCACAGCGCATCAATTTAACTGATAAGTATTTTTTTTTAAGTCAGTTCCTTAGTGTACAGACCATTTTTAAAACTCATCTCTTGTTGATTCTGTCTTATTCCTCCGAAGTGTATTTCTTGTTTTTTCCTGTGTTTTGAAGGGCAAACCTCAACCTTGCCTTCTATTTACTGAACAAATATAGGCCAATATGAACCATCTTCCCTCAAGGAAGACGGCCATTCTCGTTCCAAAGCTCATCCTGCTTTTTGTTTCCCTCCTTTGCTCTTTCCCTTTTTCTTTGTTGGTGATTCTTTCATTTTCCTTTTAGCCTTGTAAACAGTATCTTGGAAAGATGATAAAGCCCTTTATTTAAGAAGTTTCTCTTACTTTGCTTCCTACTCAAATGGTCCTCCTCTTTCAGCTTTCCTTTTTTTCCAACTTCCTTTACTTTAAACAGCTTGTGTCCTTCACATAGCTGCAGCTCACTCTCAACCCACTGCATGCTGGCTTACTTTCACATTGTGCTTCAGAAATGACTTAAAGTTTAGAGGATCAAATCTTTAAATCCTGTGTCCTTTTCTAATTATCTTCCTATTATATGATATTGCCCTTGCCTTCTTTAAATTCTTCTCTTGACTTTTGTACTCTTTCTACCCCTCCCAAGCACCCCATCACAACTATTCTCTCTCTCATTTACTGAGAATAGTTTTTAAGTACCTCTGTTGCCACGTACTAATTAAATAGTAGGGATTAAAAATGAATAAAATAATTCTTATATTTAATAATTCAATCAAAGGAATATAGAAAGGCAAACAAATAATAATATAGTATGTTAAGTCCTAGGTGAAGACCACAGAGTGGATTCAGATAGACCTGCCTTAGAATAGTACGTTACTCTTTACTTGCTGCTGTATGATTTTGGGTAAATGAACCTGTCAGAGTATTTCTCATCTGTAAAAGAAGGTTAATACCAATACCACTTACATGTCTGAACTATTAAGAGACTCATTTGAGATACAGCATTTAATGATACTTGCCACATGTCAGTGCTCAATAAAGACTTAGTCCCTCCTCCCATCCCCCATAGACAAGGAAGTAACTAACCTGCCTAGAGGATTTTGGCAAGGGTTAATAGAAGTGACACTTGAAGGAGTAACAGGTTTGCTAGGTAGAAAGGGAGAGGCATTAAGCAATGTAAAAGATTGTGGTATTTTTTCTTTTCTTTTTTTTTTTTTTTTAAAGATTTTATTTATTTATTTGAGAGAGAGAGAGCACATCAGAGGGGATAGGGTCAGAGGGAGAAGCAGACTCCCTGCTGAGCAGGGAGCCCGATGCGGGACTCGATCCTGGGACTCCAGGATCATGACCTGAGCCGAAGGCAGTCGCTTTAACCAACTGAGCCACCCAGGCGCCCTGTGGTATTTTTTCAAGAAATATTGAGAAATTCCATTTAGGGAGGTGTCAAGGGCTAGGAATAAGTCTGAAAAAGTAGCTATGGTTCTTATAAACCATCATCAGGAATCAGACTTCATTGAGGTTGAACACTAAGGAGTAACATGAATCACTTTGTCTTTTTAAAAGAATTCAACAATCTCTTTTCTATATCCCCCCTTTCTTGATGCTGCTTACTCTATTGTGGTTTAGTGGACAAGGCTCTTTCTTTCTCAAAAATTGTGAGCTTTGTGGCAGCAAGAACAGAATTTCCCAGTTCCCACATACATTTACTCGGCATATACTATATGCTAGTCTCTGTATTAGTTGCTGAAGTATTTTTAAACAAAAAATGTATAAATCACATAGATCTATTGTGCTTAGCATTCCCTTGGTTTCAGTAACATATTAATTGTAGTGGTAAACTATATTTTTCTGTTATCTAACCTTGAGTTATAAAATGTTAATTTAGACTTGCCCTTGTATAATTTAGTATTATTTTCTTTGCAAATGACATACATTCAGGCTCTGACTAGCTTTAATAATGAAGGAGGCTTATTGCCATGCCTAGTTTGAAAATTCAGAGATAGAGGGAGGGTTTTATGTTTGGTTTATTCAGTGGTTGAGCAGTATCAACAAAAATAAAACTTTTTCTCTCTCTCTTCTGCTTTCCAAGGATTGACTGCATCCCAACTATGTTTCTCCTCATAGTTATAGACTAATAAAGGGCTTGATGTCCAGTAGGAGGTGTGTGTATGTGCATGCACTTCTTATCACACTATTCTTCTTCGTTCCTAAAATTAACTTTAAGTGGACCAGCTTTAATCCTATGGCCAGTCTTGAACCAGTAATTATGGCCAGGGAAATGGAGTATATTAATTGGCTTAATAAGCTAATCATCTCCTTACCCTAACTCCCAACTGAAAGTGGAGTCAGGTTCCCCCAAAGCACATGGGGAGAGGGAAAGGTTAGATTTGGCTAGGCTGATTATCTCTTAGTGGAGGCTCAGTTCATGCTAACATGTAATGGTTCACTATGTGAGTAGTCAGTAATAATTGTGTGGAGGATGATGAAATTAAGTTTTATATTCCCTCTGTAACCTTGAAATATGAAAAGGTATCTCTTCTACTCTTTATCTTTCTCTAACTGGAATTTTTATATAAAAGCAGGATTTTCACTCTCATGCAAATGATCTATTGATAGTGCTCTGAGACAACTCACTGTGGTAGTTTGGTCAGTCTGGTCTTCTAGTTGCTGGATAGAAGTGTGACTGTAGGAGTTCATTCTGAATCACCAAATTAGTTCTTTAATGGTTTATAGCAACCTACCACAAAAGTGGACCAGTTAAAAAGTCTCAACATCGTAGTCACTATACATAGCTCAGATGCTTTACTCCTGTATCCACAAGGGTTAAAGAATAAACTATCTTTTTAATCATCAGTTTTACTGAAATAACCTGGAAATGGAAAAAAAGTACATTAAAATGTTGGAGTAGAATATAAAATTCAAAGAATTTTAGAGATGAAATATGACTTCAAAGTATTGATGCTTTAGGTTATGTTTACCTAACCAATAATGAAAAAAGCAAGGTATTGATCTCTGTTAGATGGGAGAACCCCATCAGTCAAATTATTTTCTGCTAGGAAAACAATGGCAAAATGTTCTAATTCCATAACAGCAATTTGAGAGAAGCTGCAAAATTGTAAGTTTACTACTCCTATCCCAAGTTTTCAGATAACATCCCTGTGTTTTATGATGAGAAACTGAAGTTCAGAAAGTTGTTACTTGTTCAAGGTCATTGTTTATAAAATGGAGACAGAGTATGTTACTAGGCAGTAGATTTGAAGACTGTGTCTGAAAATTGATCTTTCTAGAAAATAACATCCTTTTTAAAGTGAAAATACCTATGCTATTATTTTTTCTGCTTTAGTTTTTTTAAGTAATTAAAGTTCTACGTATATATTTTATTTAATACATATCTTGAACTGTCTTTATTTTCACAGACACTTAGGGTTCCTCTCAGTTTGAAATATTCCTGCCCTTCTGAAAGCACATGGAAATTAGCAGTATCTTCTCTCCTCAAAGTTCTTTCTATTGGGCTACCTGTTGCCCGGCAGCATGCTTCTTCTGGAAAATTTGACAGTATGTGGCCAGAACTAGCCAACACTTTTGAAGACTTTCTCTTTACTAAAAGGTCAGCTCATTCAATTTTACAATTGTAAGACAATCTCTCAAAAATATGTAATGCCTGCAATTGAACTAAAAACAGTATTTCTCATTATTCATTAACAAAGTAATTATTAAGATTGCTCCATTGTATACAAAGCACAACTGATTTATTAAACATTTATCCACTAGCTACATTATCTGTGAGCAAATGGAGATTTTTGCTTTTCTCACAGTGTTTTTGGTTTTAAGACAGGACTCTCTAAGACTATATGGATGCATCATAATTAAGGTTTTAACTCATTGAAGCTAAGAAGATCTATTTTTTCAGTCTGCTGCCCATTTGACATTGCAAGAAGAAAATAATTTCAGAAAATCAGTATTTTACTGGAATAAATAAGATTAGTGGTGATAATGATCAGCTCTTTAAGATGTTAGGTTTGGCAAAGAAGAGTGGAATTTTCACTATGTGATATCCACCTGAGGGCTTATGTTTATGGATCTTCTTTTGACCCCTCACTAAGTGAGAGTAGGGTAATTGGAACACACACTACATTTTTTGAAGGAGGAATCTTCTGTGGGTTAACTTAAATTTTGCTGTGTGAAAGCATATCTGGTATTTCAAAATTGAAAATAATGACATCCTAATTTCTGTTTCCACAAATGGTCAGATTTTGTTTTACTTTCTTTTGTATATCTCATCTCTAGAAATCTTACAGATACCAATGCAAGTGTACTCTTTGTATTTGCAGGAAAATTATAGGGACTCACAGAACATATTCAAACAAATTATATTTTTATCTTTAACCCTGAAAATAGGAGTTCCTCTGTGGACTCCGTTGCCTGAAATCACTATGTTAATTTGTATGAATCAAAGAGGTTTAGAAATTTATACTTTTCTCTTTCTTTCCCAGTTATCTGTATATGCATGTTGCTTTATTAATACAAGCTTTTAGATTAGGTTTTTTTGGCAATGAGTAAAACTTCTTTAAGAATTTCTTTTCCTGGGGCACCTGGGTGGCTCAGTTGGTTAAGCAGCTTCCTTAGGCTCAGGTCATGATCCTGGAGTCCCAGTATCGAGTCCCTCATCGGGCTCCCTGCTCGGTGGGGGGCTTGTGTGCTCTCTCTCGCTCTCACTTACTCTCAAATAAATAAATAAAATCTTAAAAAAAAGAATTTCTGTTACTGTGGCTGAGTCTTTCCACCATCTTACTTATTCTCAAGTTTCTTGTTGAATATTCTTATTTTATTAAATTCAGTTTAATGAAATAATTTTTATGTGTTTGTGTGCAGGAAAGTAGAAAATGAAATCAAAGTCTTAATAGTAGATACTGTACATCTTATGTCATTTTGTATTAATGCAGCCGTACTATAATTTCATTGCAGTCTTTTGCCCGACTATGGCCCTATTTACATTAAAGGTTTGAGTGTATTTGGTATGTTGAAAAATCATATTGCTTAAGAAGCAGCCATTATAGTGCACTGACTCAGGAGCTGGGCCACCTGGATTCAAATCCCAACAGTTACTTTGTAATTGAGATCTTTTCATCTGTTAAGTAGGAGTGATAATGCTACCTAACTCATAGAGTTATTATGAGGATTAAGTCACTTAAAATAAGTGACTGCTAGAGTATTATGTCATTTATTTTTATTTTTTGAGAGAGAGTAGGTTTGGAAGGGCAGAGGGAGAGGGCGAGAGAGAATCTTAAGCAGGCTCCACGCCCAGTGTGAAGCCCAATGAGGGGCTCTATCTCACAACCCTGAGATCACGACCTGAGCCGAAATCAAGAATTGGACGCTTAACTGACTTGGCTACCCAGGCACCCAAGTATTAAGTCACTTAAAATAAGTGACTGCTTAGAGTAGTACCTGGCACATGAGTGCTTTTAAAATGCTTGCTACCACTTTTATTATCCTCATTATTGTTATTTCTTTTCCTTAAGAGAAAGTGATATTGTCCATATTGTCCATATCCTTTCCCATGAAACAGCCATATTTTAAACCAGAATTTTAAAGACCCAAGCTCTAAATAGCTGGGAGTAGAAATTTACTTCTAAATTTGGAATTGCTTATAATGGGTAGAAAATAATAAAGGTACTAAATTCTGCTGTCAGTAACACAGAATTAGCATTCTAAGTTGTGATTATTCTAGTTACAGGTTTAAGCCTTCTGCTATCCTATATTGAGAGTCAGGAGACCCATGACCTACTTTGGACTCTGCTACCTCCTTTCTGTTGACCTTGAACTGGTTGTTTCCCTTCAGTAGGCATCGTTTTCTCTGAATTATAAGATGAAATGAATTGATTAGTTGTAAAGGTCCACTAGTTTATATATTTTGACTTAAATTTTTCATCAATGTGAAAACAGCTAAGATGGATAAAGCCAGTGCAAAAATATTTTAAGGCTCAAATTGAAAGCTTTCATTAGTTAGTTGAAGTTAAAAATGCAGTGCTCATGAAGAGAACTTAAAAATTATGCGTATTTTTAGTTTCATGAGAAGGCTTTGTTTTTTGTTTTCCAAATAATTGATTACTTTGGAAATCACAAAATTTTATTTGATGTCACATATATACTTGTTCTATAACTGATGTCCATCACTAGTATTTGAACAGTAAGGTGGTGTTTCAGAATGTTGCTTGGAGTAACAAGACTTAGGTTTTTAAATACTTGGGTATATTTTATGTTGGAACATTTATAAATCCTTTAACTTAATTAATATATACTCTAAGACTCTGAATAACCATGCCTTTCTCTGATATTTCTTAGCTTTTTTTTTTTTGGTCTGTAAGCTGTTTTGGCAAGGCAGTATAATAACAAAGAGATACAAATAAAACCAAAATTAGCTAGAAGAAAACAAAGGCTTTGGACATTATTGAGGACTATGATAAGTAAATACTTTAAATGAGAAAAAGAAAAAACATGATTAAAGATGAAAAACATAAACACTGTGATCTGGTAGACACTTGGGGTTTATTAGGAATTCATTCAGTCATCCTTAGAGTACTGAAACATGGTTTTTATCCTGTAGAATACACTTGGGCTAGTGTGAGAATTCATACAGTTAATGGTCAGTGGACTTTAAGTTTAAAATCCCTAAGTAGTACCTAAAAGAAATCAGGTGAAACATATTCACACAAAAACTTAGTAATGTTCATAGCAGTATTTTTCATAATAGCTAAAAATGAAAACAATCCAAATGTTTATCAGCTGTTGAGTGGATAAATTAAATGTGGTATATCCATAGAATGGAATATTCAGCCATAAAAAGGGATAAAATACTGATACATGCATGCTACAATATAGATGAATCTTGAAGATGTTATGCTAAATGAAAGAAACCAGACACGAAAGGCCATATATCGTATGGTCTCATTTATATAGTATATCCAGAGTAGGCAAATGCATAGAGACAGAAAGTAGATTAATGGCCACAGGTGGGAGGAGGAGACAATGAGGAGTGACTGCAAAAAGTACAGAATGTCTTTCAGGAGTGATGAAAATATTCTGGAATTAGAAGTGGCACAACTTTGTGAATATACTAAAAAGCACTGAATTATACACTTTAAGAAGGTGAATTTTATGGTATATGAAATTGTATCTCAATACATTTTTTAATGTACCATGCAGAGAGAACTGACAAAAAATACAAATAACACTTTATCAGTTTCAAGGCTCTTTTATTTCAAATAAAGATTCATAAAAATAATTTTTAAAAAAATCACTAACAAACCTCAATCTTAGAGAATTTAAGGATCTTATATGGCCCATTTCTACCTGCAATATTGACAGTCTCTACTTACAATTTATAGGTACACTGTGTTAATCATCAGTGTTTTTTGATATGCTCAAAGTGTTTAGTAAGGATACTAACTCTAGGTTAAATAACAATTAGTTTGGGTTTTGAGATCAGAATACTTAAACTATGCACGATCGAAAATTTCCCAATTTTATTGCTCACTGGGATTAGGAGTAATGAACTTTTCAGTTTCTGACTTTGTGTGCTACCCTCTTTCCTCATTATAAAATATTTTAAAAATCCATTTAAGTGTTTCTGATATATGATCCCATTAACATTAATATTATTAGTGTCTGTTCCTAATAATGCTTTTTTTAAATTGGTAGTCAGCCCATCCTTAGTTACCTCCACCATCATCAGAATTTTTTTGTATCAATGAATACTTACATTACTTGATTATAAATTAGAATTAAACATAGAGATACAGATAGGATCTGTGAAGCTACTTTAGTAGTAGTGGTTATGAAATTCTCACCATTGGTGCAAATTTGGGTACATGTCTTTAAATTTTTTTCCTGTAGTTTACTACTACCAGATTATAGAGTTAGGCTAGGACTTGCACACCAGAATGCAAGTTTCATGCAACAGGGATTGGGTCCATCTTATTCATAGCTGGATCTTGTATAGTGCCTGATAACAGAGTATTTGGTACTCAGTAAATATTTGTTGCATGAAAATATCTGAGTCAAACAAAAAAGATCTGGTACCCGTACTAGAGTGTGTGTGTGTGTGTGTGTGTGTGTATTCAACCAAATAATACCAAATAAAGTAAAAATAGCCCTAGATATAAAAGGGTACACTATATCTCTAATCCTAAATATGATAACGCTATTTTTACATTTACAACATGAAAGAGAAGAATTTAAGCTCAAATATCAGTCAAGTTTAGGGTCAAATTCTGACTTTGTCATTTGCTTACAGTACATTCTTGGTCATATTACTAGCATTTGAAGCCTCAGTTTCTTCTTCTGTCAATTACATGAGGTTAAATACTACATGTGGTTACTGTGCAATCATAGGAGGTAATACAAATAAAGCTCTTAGTACATTGGCTGGCTCTGTAATTTTAGCTGTTATTATTGTAATAATCATTAACATCTGATTCTCAGCTGTTTATAAGTAGTTAATATTTCACTGTTTCATAAGTTTAATACCATTTTACTGTTCATTCTTATTAAGAGTCACATGGTTTAGAATTCACCTTGGTTCTCAGAATGTTGATTTCCACTGATCTTGCTGGAACAATTTTCTGCCCCCCCCTTTTTTTTAGATGTTCTCTTTTTTATTGTAAAGATCTTTAATAGATTGTGTTTATTATAAATTAGTGATTAATGGGCAGTCTCTGAGTGAATAGTTCAGCAAATGATCAAGACACTCTTAAGTCACTGGCAATATAAGTGAATTCAGGTATCATCACAATGGTAATTTTTGTTGTTACTGCAGATGATAGTAATATCCTCACTTTTTATTGTTTTTTCATTCATTAGTACTGAAAGGAGTTTAGTTTTACGGATTTTATTTAGTTCAGGATTGGACCAAGCATTTTTGTAGCTAGAAGTTCATGTTTGTAATTAGTTTAGTCACTTACACTGATAACTTTAATTAAAAATACTGTTCTTTTAAATAGATGGTAATGTTTAACCTGGGTGAGAAAATACTTTTTGTCATTTGAATACTGTTTATTTTCCTTTTAAAAATCAAGTGTTTTGTTTATTTTTTTAGCATACCTCCAGATAATCTCTCTATTCAAGAATTTCAAAGAAATGAAAGTATTGATGTTGAGGTGAGGAAACTATTTAAAACATTTTCCCATAACCATTTGTGCAAACCAAATAGTAGAAATGTTGAAACTATAAAATTGCTAAGAGAAAAAGTAAAGTAATAGGTTTAAGATTGAACCTAAAAGCAGTAAAACTCTCACAAAGATTAAAGGTTAGTTTTGAAAGCACTGACATGATTTCCTTATATTTGTTAGCTTTTAGTCTAAATACTCAGTTGTATCCATTTAATAATTTAAGAAAGCAGTTGATTCAGTAAAATCTATTGGTTATTGAGCATGTTTGAGAGTTTACTCTATAGTTTGGCAAACCAGGTGTTGTGGTTCAAAATAATAAGTTGTTTAGAATTTTTTTTTTAAGTAGGCTCTATGCCCAACATGGGGCTTGAACTCATGACCCTGAGATCAAGTGTCACACAGTCTTCTGACTGAGCCAGCCAGGCATCCCTAGATTTCCGTTTTTAACCAGAAGTAGATAGAGCCTCCAGAACTCTAGAGGCACATAATGAGTGTTTTTTCAAGAATATATTTTTTTGATTGTAAATGGAATTTAAAGAAGTAGTTTTTTGGTTATGGGTTTTTTGTTGGGGAAGGTGTTTTGATGATTTTCCTTTAAGTGGGATAAAGGATCTTTTAAGTAAATCAAATAAGTAAACTACTTAAGTATACGTGAAAAGTATATGCATCATGTACATATAAAATACTGCCTTTTGTCCATTAGTGTTTTTCTTCTTTTTCTTCAAAGGGCAAAATAACACATTATATATTAGAAATGAGCTATTTAGCAAACATGAATATAACTTTACTTTCTCTTTTGGCTTGTTTACAGTTCTAAAAAGGTGATTTAACTTTTATTCTTAATTCTGTTTCAATATTTTACTCTAACATGGATACATTTCATATAAGATCAACATATATTAAAATGGTTGCATAGTAGACAGTTGATAGGACTGACTTTTGTAATTGACTATTAAAAAATAAATTTATTGTTATTATTACTAAGACAGATGAAGGAAATAGGCTACTCATCCTGTATGTTAACATTAAAATATTCATTTAATTAAGGAAGATTCTTAATCGATTTTCTTTTAAATAAAATTTAGATTTTACTGTAGGAATTGTCATTTGAGTTGGTCTTTTTCAAGAAAAAAAATGCATTTGAGTTTGCCTCTTTTGTTTTAGGTAGTTCAGCTTATCAGCACTGAGATACTACCTTATGCCAATTTTATTCCTAAGGAATTTGTCGGTCAGATAATGACTATGCTTAATAAGGGCTCAATACATTCTCAGTCATCTTCATTTACAGGTACGTTATTTTAATGATTTATTAAAAATGTTAGTAAGTATTGAAGTACTTTGGAAGAAGCTGATTGTAGCAATGTTTAGTCCTGTGATTTTGGTAAAATGTAAACTGGAGAATAGTAGGGTAAATTTTAAGAATGTAATAGAACGTTAAGTTTTATGAGGGGAAAATGTGGTGAATATTCTGTGAATTATGTGTTATGAATTCAATTGCAGAACACTTAGGAAATCTGCCTAAGTCACTGTTGGCTGACACAAGTTAACGGTTTTGTGAAGTCATGGATTATTGGGAAATAATGAGTTTATATTCTGCCACCTAGCAGTTGGCTAACTTCTTTGAGTCTCATTTTTATCATCTGTGAAATGAAGATATTAATATCAATCACTCAGTTATAAATTACAGTTAGTCAGTTAAAACAAATAGATGCCTTAACATTTGTTAATGGAACTAAAGTTAGTAAATTCTTACTATGTGCAGGGTATTATGCTAGAATGTTACCTTTTTCCTCATAGTATTTCTATGAGGATAGTTTCCACCATATTGCAGAGGGGAAATGGGTTGAGAACGGTTGGAAAAATTATCCATAATCTAAATGCTGGAAGCCAAATTCATCCTTAAGAAGAACTCCATGCTTCTTTTCATTTTATCATGCTACCTTATTGGGAGATGGTACTTAAATTGCTTTTTGCTATTATTTCTCTTTTTCTAAACCTGTGCTCAATTGTTAAATATGATTGTAGTATCATAACGTGATTTTTCTCTGAGGTGATTAAAAAAGTATAAATTTGTGCCATGCATATCCTTAATCCCCAGAATTTACCAGAGCAATGACTAACTTCTGCTGAACTGTGCTAAACACTTTCTGTGTACAGTTTGGCCACTAGATGTCTCTCATACTGCTTACTTCACAAACTACAGTAGTTCTTTTCTCAGCCCAGTGGTAAAATGATAAAAGTGATCTGATAAAGTGCAGATTTAATGAACATAAAAATCTCAGAAAAAAAAATTAAATCCTACTTATGTTAATATAGTCAACTTTTTATTATTAAGAGTATATAAAAATTTCTAGATACATTTTTATAAAAAGGAATTTACAAACAATATTTATAATCAGATGTAAATATTTTAAGCTAAAGAAGAACTACTGAATTGCCATGCATACTTTTTCAAGCAGTTTCTGATGATACCTCTTGCCATTTATAGTACTAAGTATACCAAGATAAGGAAGGTACATGGACCTTCTTTGCTATAGGACACAAACTTCTCAGTTTGAACTTGGAGGGCTTTTTAAAATGTATATATAGAGTTGGTCCATGCTAAACTGGACCAACCTATAAAGACTTAGGTTCCAGTCATCATTTTTGGTCCACCACTCTTAAGTATGGCCTGATAGCCAAAGCTTTCAGAGAAAATCTTCCAACACAAAAGAGAAAAAACAAAACAAATGAAGAGGGAGTAAAAGAAACTCAGAGGAAACGTAAATTCAGGGCCACAGAAACATTCTGTCCCCAAAAGCACAATTATAATTAGGATCTTCAAAGGGATAAAAGATTTTATATCCATGAAACAGAAAATGCTATTAAGAAGGAACAATCATTACAAGAAAGAGTTCATAGAAACTAAAAATGTGATCACTGAAATAACAAGTCCAGTGAAGGGTTGCAAGAAAATATAAGGAAATAACCCCGAAAGCAGAGAAAGACAAAATAGCACTGTGACAAGAAAGAAAGAAAATGAATCAAAGAGGTCTAACATCTGACAATGGGTCTTCCCGAAAGAAAATATAGAGCAAAGCTAAAAGGAAATTATCAAAGACATAAACTAAAGAAATCAGTCTCCAGATTAAAAATGGTCACTCAGTAACCAGAACAGTGAAAGAAAAAAGATCCACAAGAAGATCCACAAATTTCATGTTGTCATGAAATTTCAGAGTACTTGGGCTAAAGAGAAGATTTTACAAGATTTCAGAAAGAAGAGAAAAAAGGCCAACACAAAAGAATTTTGTCAAGATGATACTGGACTTCTCAGTAGCAGCATTGGATGCTAACAGACATTGATGCAGTGGTTTCAGAGTTATAATTGGAAAGGATTTTTAACATGGAGTTTCATACATAGGCCCACCGTTGTCAGAGTATAAGCATAGGTGGTAGTTCTCAAGTGTCAGCATGCATTATAATCAGCTGCAAGGGCAGGCTATTGCTGGGCTGTATGCTCTGAGCTTCTGATTCAGTAGGTCTGGGGTGGGACATGAGAATTTGCATTTCTAACGAGTTCTCTGGTGATGCTGATGCTGCTAGGTACTACTCTTTGAGTACCACAGAAAAGTAATGACATTTTCAGAAGTGAAGTTCTGAGAAATTTTACTTCCTAGGCAGTCTTTCTCAGGTACTCCAGAATGTGCACCATGAAAACAAAGGAGTAAACCAAAGAAACAGAAGGCATGGATCTAGGAAGTGGGGTAGAAAACAAGAGAGAATAAAAACAATTTTGAGGGCGTGGCAAAGACTAGTTCGAGGATATAGCTGGACAGCAGGTCCGCAGAGCAGCTAGTCCACACTAGAGCAGAGATCTCTGGCTCTGGGAAAGATGTTGCCAAGAAGAAGGAAGAAAGGGAGGGAGGGAGGAAGAAGGAAGAAAGAGTATTGCAAGTATGCCCTTGTGGAAGACTATTGAGAAGCATTTTATAGTACTGTCAAAGGGTATAAAAAGACAAAGATGAGAGAAATATTATGTAGAAATGATGAGAGCGGACAGTCCTGCCTTGTTTTTGATCTTGCAAGGGGGAAAATTGCTATATATATGCTGTTAGCTGTAAGTTTTTCATAGATGTCTTTCATCAATTGAATTTCCTTCCATTGGCTAAGAGTCGTTACCATTAAGGTTATTAATGTTAACCTTTTGTTAACCATTAAAAATTGTTAATTTTACAGAAGCAGAGATTGATATTCGTTTGAGAGAGGAATTTTCTAAAATGTGTTTTGAAACATTGCTCCAGTTTTCCTTCAGTAACAAAGTCACAACACCTCAAGAAGGCTACATCTCACGAATGGCACTCTCAGTGCTTTTAAAGAGATCTCAAGATGTGCTTCATCGTTATATAGAGGATGAAAGATTAAGTGGTAAATGCCCTCTTCCAAGGTATAAATTTTATTTTATAGATGAAGGAAATATGTTCTCATAGTTACTACTAATAAAAAAGCTCTAAGCATCAAGTTGTTTTTATAAGTGATTTGAAGACTGTAACCTGAAGCTGTTTATAATTTTATTCATTTTATACAGTGTAAATATTCATAAGTTTTGCTGCAGATATATTAGTGTATTTTATTATGGGGTGCTCTTTCAGACTCCTTATGGAGGGTAAGTAATATAAGTAATATATATGTACCAAATTTCCTTTTTGGGTTTAAAAGAAAATTTTGAATTCTAAAATATATCGTCTTAAGGATTTCTGGATAAGGACTTGTGGATCCATATGAGCATATGAGTGTGAATCTCTCTAGAGAGAAAATAATAGATAAATCATACTCTAGGAACTTCCTAGTTTGTTTTACAGTTATTTTTAGATTTCTCTATAAGTCAGCTAGCCATGTCTTAGATCTTCTTTTCATCTGATTTGCTTAATTAAGCCCTTGTTCCTAAACTAATTTGCTTACCATTTAGTCAAGCTGTGTCGTAGAATGGACTCTAGGCCTTTCTGCTAAGCTAAGACTAATTAAAGTTGGGGTAGAAATCAGAATTCATCAAAAAATGCAATCATAAATTAGCATTATGTCACCAATCTATTTTTTAATGTGGGAATTAGAGTTTAAGGCAAAACAAATGAAACAAAATAATGTTGGAAGACAAAGTTGTTAAACTAGGGAGAGAGTTACGAAAATCATTATGGGTTCCATTTCATATAAGGTAGTCTTGGAGAGGTAAATCACCAGCCCTAAATCTTTGTGTACATTCTTATTTACGTAATAAAATTTTAGAGTGAGATTGACTTGTCAGAATATAAAGACATTCTAAAAGCTTTTGATATGTATTACAAATTGCCTACCAGAGATTTCTACCAATTTACATTCTCCTAGGAGTATATAAATGTCCTTTTCCTCAGTTTTTAAAATTATTTTAAAATTATTTGCCAGTTTATGATTTATTTTATCTTTTAAAATTTGATGAATGAAAAATAGTTACATAGTAGTTTGCTGTTATTTTTTTAAATTATCAATGCTTATTAGTCATTTGTATTTCTATTTTGGGGGCCCAACTGTATTTTGAATTTCTAAAACATAAATTATACCTCCTCCTATTCAGATTTATATGCAAAAGTTCCAAAGACAGGTGTTGGTAATTTCGTTATGGGCATAATTGAAAATTGATTTATCAAAATTATCTCTGAAGTATACTCGGAAAAGCAGTAATAAAGTTGTTCTGCTTGGAATATTTTAATTTATTAGATTATAACATTATTTGATTTCAGAAAGCAATTTTTCCTTGTTTTTTTATGTTTTTAGCGTTTATTGCTTTTAAATTGAGTCTTACTTATAGTTGGTCCTATAAAGTGTTATATCGTATCATCCTGTGTTTGACTCAGTATCATTACATTATTTTCTAAACTACATTGCAACACAATAAGATTCTTCTATGCTTAAAAAAGGAGACTTGAAATATACTCTGTCATAGTATTAGAAAAATCTTTTTTGGGGGCACCTGGGTGGCTCAGTCATTAAGCATCTGTCTTCAGCTCAGGTCATGATCCCAGGGTCCTGGGATCGAGCCCCGCATCGGGCTCCCTGCTGCGCAGGAAGCCTGCTTCTCCCTCTCCCACTCCCCCTGCTTGTGTTCCTGCTCTCGCTGTCTCTCTCTCTCTGTCAAAGAAATAAAATATTTAAAAAGAAGAAAAAAAAGAAAAATCTTTTTTGTAGAATGAAAACACAGATTCGTATCAGGAGTGAGGAGACTATGTAGGGAGAAAGAAGGGAATCAAGCTACTCTTGTTGATCCTTCACTCCCAAGTTCATTCTTCATTGCTAATGTCTCCAAATAGTACTGCCTTAGGATTAATTTTGAGCATGTTTCTTTTGTTGTATTAGAAAGTTAAATAAGTACTATTGTAATTTTTTTCCCACCCCAGCACTATTGTAAATTTTTTTAAAAAGATTATTTGAGAGAGAGAGAGTACAAGGGTGGGAGGGAGAGGGAGAGAGAGAGTCAACCAGACTCTGCGCTGAGCTCAGAGACCAACACGAGCTTGACCTAATGACCCTGAGATCATGACCTCATGACCCTGAAGTCATAACCCTGAGATCACAATGAGGTGGAAACCAAGTGTTGGACGCTTAACCAACTATGCCACCCAGGCGTCCCTGTACTATTGTAATTTTAAATGTCCTTCCAACAGCATGATAAAATATATGCCAGGAGGTAGTAGTAGTCTTTATTTCCATTTAAATTTTGGCAAATCCTTTTTAGCACTAACTAGTTAAAAAAGAAAAAAAACCCACTTTTGTAGAGAAGCTATAAAAGCACGTATAAAATGTCTTAAATTTAAATAGTTATGTGAAATATCTTACAAATAAATTTGGATTTGCCTGAATAGATGCCCCCCGTTTTGAAATTGATAACTTATGATAAGAATAACTCTAAATCTTATTTGTACACTGAAGTTCATATTAATAAAATAATTTTTCTTTTTAAGAATTTAAAACTAACATTAACTTTGCATTGTATTGTGTCCAGTATTTTTCCAAAGTACATCTACTTGTATAAACCTAGTAAAAAACACACATGGCATATCTTAAAATCCTGATGGAAATAATTTCCCATCTCTTTTTTAGGCAGCAAGTAACAGAAATCATATTTGTTTTAAAAGCAGTCAGTACTCTCATTGATTCACTTAAGAAAACTCAGCCTGAGAATGGTAAGTGCTTAGAAACTCAGTTATTCTAAACTCATAGCATTTATGTTCTATTTCTGATGTACTTCTCTATTATTAAGTTAACTAAATTTTAGGAACATAATAGCTATTAGACTTTCTTTTTTCCAGTCCTTATGACAGCGAAGAATCAAGTCCATTAAGATGTCAATTAAGTAAAATTAATTTGTAATGTTTCAGCTTCTTTATGTTAAATAACAGTTTGGCTTTTTTTTTTTTTTTTTAAGTTGGTCTGAATTCAGGATGTTGCATGGATAATTCACAGTTCATATATTTTTAGTGTAGAACATCACTGAGATTTTGGGTAGGTGTAGGCTTCCATCCTGTGTGTGTACTGAATTACAGTGTAAGTATAAACTGTACAACTTTGAATCATTGTATAGCTTTACCTCATTTGTTTCCCCTTTCTGTAACTCATCCCTCTTCTGTCCATTCTTTGTTATTGCCAGAAATGATTTTTCCAAAAGTGCAGCTTTGATCATTCATTTTCCCGTCTTTGTAAAACAAAAAATTTTCATTAACTTTACCTACCAAATGCAAAGAGTACTGTTGTCAGACCACATTAGATTTATGGTTTATTTCCACTAGACATCATTTTTCCTATTTTCCCACCAAACTAAAATTCTCCGTCTACCCAAGTATTCCCAACCTTTTGCTTATTTCACTCTCCTGCCTCCATCTACCTAGTTCAAATAGCACTCCACTTTTAAGCCTTGTTTTTAATCCTTAATGGTGAGTGGTTTCTCTTTTTACTGAACTCATAGCTGTTTTATGTGTACCTTTGTCTTAAAGCACTCCACATGTGTTACAGTGGCACACATACATGGCTCAGTTCTTTAACTTGTAAACTTCTTGAGAGGATTTTGGGGCCATGTTCTGCCCTATTTTGAATCTTATGCATTGCAATGCAAAGTGGTTGGTTCGAGGACAGGATAAAGAGCTGGCACCAAAATATGAGTTAATTGTGTCACTGAACACAGTGGTTCAGTTGACATTTTTTATACAACAAGCCTTTGTTAAAGAAGGAGTGTGTTGATTTATACTGTGGCCCAAGCACCTCAGCACACTGGCACTTTAAGCAGCATTACTTTTAATACCCAAGAAGGAGGTTCCTAATAAATGCCTTATAAATAAGTCCTAGGATATTTGTTCCTGGCAGTTATTATATAATAAAAGTAAATACATATTTTTCTGTTTTCAAAACTTACCTTTGGCCTAGAAAGGAGCACTAACTAAGGAGCAATAGATTTGTATTTATTCAGTCCAAAGGAGGGGGTAGAATTTGTAAAGAAAATTGTGGGAGCAATATTCTGACTTCATCCCATCAAATTCAAATTTGAGTTCTCTTAAAAAATGTTCTGGTTGATCTTTCAGAGAGGGAAACCATGCATTAACTTCCTAGTGACCAGTAAAATCTTTATTAGATCATAGGATAGAATTGGAGTCTTAAAAATATATTTAAGACTTAAACAGGAAATTCTCTAATTCCCATGTTATTGCTATAGATGTATTAAATATAACCAGTGTATTTCGATGCATAGTGCTTGCATTATTTTGTAGGAGGTTAAGACAGCTGTCAAGAATTTAAGCAGAATTTGTCAGTAACTTTTTTTTACCCTTCCTTTCCTTTCCCTTTCCCTTTCCTTTCCTCTTTCTTTTTTTTTTCTTTCTTTCTCTTTCTTTCTTTCTTTCTTTCTCTTTTTTTTTTACAAAGCCAGTGGGCCATGAATAGGGCAGTGCAGTAATGATAGATGATTTAACTTATTGTTAAAAATTGTCTAAGAGAGTTTGAATTCTGGCTCTGGACATATGAAGTGAAAATTTGAATTAAATGTAACCATAAATGATGATGATGATATCGTAACGTATTAGAAACCTATGATAAGCTTCATTAAGAAATAGGAAAAAAAGGAGGTAACTTAGAAAAAGCCAGGTCTTTCCAGTGGAAGTATGTTGGGTTGCTCATAGCCAGTCCAAAATTAATTCAGGAGGATAGGTATAAGGTTTGGAACCAGTGTATACCCAACATTTGTTTAGGACATTTGTCATTTGTTTTAGGGCTCTCTAGGGGGAGAGAAGGCATTTGTTGGACTTATTTTTAATTTGGGGGAATTTTGTTTTTATTGTTTTATTTGATCTTTACTTTAAAATTTGATAGGTAGTAACCATATACATGGTTCAAATATTCAAAAACATAAAAAGACATACAGGGAAAAGTTTAAAGATCATCTTTACCCTACTTTAGATCTGTCTAGTTCTTGACTCACCATAGGCAACCATTTTTATTAGTTTGTGGATCTTTCCATAAGTTTATTATGTAAATACAAAATATATACTCCAGTATGCCCCCAATTTTAAACATAAATGAATATACATAATAGACCCACATTATATCTACTGTTCTGAATACTCTATTTTTTTCCACTTCATGTAATAGGGAGATTCTTCCATATAATTGCATACAGCTTTTTCATTCCCTTTTGATAGGTAGTCCAAGGTGCCCACCAAGATATATAGTGGGTTTTTAAAACAATATTTTAATTTAAGAAATTTGAGTAACTTCCCCCGAGTTTCAGATGTGATCTTGGGGCGCCTGGGTGGCTCAGTTGGTTAAACCGCTGCCTTCAGCTCAGGTCATGATCCCAGGGTCCTGGGATCGAGCCCCACATCGGGTTCCCTGCTCATGCAGGAAGCCTGCTTCTCCCTCTGCCTGCCGCTCCCCCTGCTTGTGCTCTCTCCCTCTCTCTCTCTCTCTCTCGCTATCTCTCTCTGTGTGTCAAATAAATAAATAAAATCTTTAAAAAAAAAAAAGATGTGATCTTAAACAGTGTATTTTTGTATTTTCCTGTAATAAACCAAGCATTAATTTTATCAGTTGACTCTCCATCTGGGGCAATCTAGGTAGGTTTCAATCTGTGTAACCTTTTTTTTTTTAATAGTAAAATACACATAAAAATTTATAATCAGCCATTTTTAAGTGTTCAGTGGTATTAAATACATTCGTAATAGTGTACTACCATCAGAACCATCCATCTCCATAACTCTTTTCATCTTTTAACTGGAAATCTATACTTACTAAACAATAACTCCTATTCCCCACTTCTCCCAGCTTCTGGCAACCACCATTCTATTTTCTATCACTATGATTTTGACTACTCAGAGTATTTCATATAATTGAATCATATAGTATTTGTCTTTTTGTGACTGGCTTTTTTCACTTAGTATAATGTCATCATGGTTCATTCATATCATAGCATGTTGGAAAATTTCCTTTTTAAGACTGAATAATATTGCAGTGTGTGTGTGTGTGTGTGTGTGTGTGTGTTGTGTGTGTGTGTGTATCTCATATTTTCCTTATCCATTCATCCATTGGTAGACGCTTGGGTTGATTCCACATTTTAGCTATTGTAAATAATACCGCTATGAACATGTGTGTACAGAAATCTCTTCAAGATCCTGCTTTCAATGCTTTGGAGAATATACCCAGAAGTAGAATTGCTGAATCATATGGTAATTTTATTTTTTATTTTTTTAATTTTTAAATTAAAATTTTTTTTATTTTTAAAGATTTTATTTATTAATTTGAGAGAGACAGAGACAGAGAGAGCACAAACAGGGGGAGAGGCAGAGGGAGAGGGAGAAGCATACTGCCTGCTGAACTAGGAGCCCAACGTGGGGCTCGATCCCAGGACCTGGAGGTCATGACCTGAGCTGAAGGCAGATGCTTAACCATCGGAGCCACCTAGGTGCCCCTCTATTTTTTTATTTTTTGAGGAACCACTATATTATTTTCCACTGTGGCTGTACCATTTTACATTCCCACCATGAATGAATAAGATTCTAATTTCTCCACATCTTCATGAATACTTGGGGTTTTTTTGTTTTTCCTTTTTGTTTTTGTTGATAGTGGCCATTTTAATGAGTAGGAGGTGAGTCATATTGTTGTTTTGATTTGCATTTCCCTCATGATAGCGATGTTGAGCATCTTTTCATGTGCATAATTGGCCATTTGTATCTCCTTTGGAGAAATGTGTATTCAAACCCCTTGCAGATTTTTTAATTGAGGGATTTGTTTTTTTGTTGTTGTTGAAGCCTCTTTATCTGCACCTCTGTGGTCAGAAGCATTGATCAGAGCACAGATCCCTGAAATTTGGAGGATGGGGTCCTTTTTGCCTACCGTGGCCTTCTGCAAGCTGTGTGCTACTGCTCCAGGAACACGTGCACATCTCCCAACCACATGGCTAGGAGTGAGGGATGGGTAGCTGCTGCTGTGCTAAGACCTGAAATTGACCAAAATTAATCACAATATACTGTCCAAATCTACCTCAGGAAGTTGCAGGCCTTCAGTAGACTCCAGAGTTCCAAAATAGTTGCAGATTCTGCCAATGCAATTGTTGTCTAGGTGGGTAGACAAATTCCTAGTACTTCCTACTCTGCCATTTTTCTAGAATGCTCTCTGTGCAATCTTTTGTTAAATGATTAGTGGAAAGTTTCACAGACAACAGCTGGAGTAGACGGTTTAAAACTTCTTAGACTGGTGGTTTTTAAACTGTTTTCTGTCAAGCAGCACAGTTCTTTTTACAAATGAAATCTGATACGGATTCCTAATATATACAGCTCTGGCCTGACATTCCCTCCCTCACCATTACCCATCGGCTCCACTCCTGCTCTGAGGAAGCCCCTGTTTGGGTGAAGTAGGGATTACATGAACAGGTCAACATTTCCCAAGATTAGTACTAAGCAATGAATATTAATGATGATGAGTGATGTCAGTAGATATTGAATATGAAAACGTTCTATAACCAAATTAATTTTGGAAGTCCTGCATTAGATAAAGTTAAACCTCTTTTTTTACTCCAGGTTTTTAATAAATTCGTGTGAATTATGACTCCCCAAAAAGGAAGATAATGTATATAACATGTGCCAAACTTACCTGAACATTATTTTTTTATAAGAAGTATCTTGAAGAACACTAGTTTAAGAAACTTATTCCTTTATTCTCCAACAGAAGTGGAGATAAAGAGAAATTGGAGTGAAAAATAGAATTAAAGTTACTTATGTGTAATACAGTATTCTTTCGTTTTTACTGTACTGCCTCCTAGATCTGAATTTTACTCCACAAAGTGTCATATACATATACAATCTAATGAAAATTTGTCAGCTGGTTTTATTTCATATTGGACTCTTAGCAATATGCACAGTACTTCCAGGAAAATAGAAATGTAATACGTGATCTCAGAGTGTAAAGAAATTATAAACTAATTGGGATATAACACTTTTGCCCATTCACCAAATAGCATTCAACTATACTAGTTGTCGGTGATAGTGGTGAGGAACACAGACATGTTGTTCCCCACTGAAGTTTAAATGTAGTGATATACGTTACAAATTAGGAAGCAGTATAAGAGAAGAATGGATCTGTGTGGTCACTTGAAACTAAAATGAGTATCAAGGATGTTACTGGGAAAATCATTTAAACATTTATATTTTTAGCATACAACTGCATAAGAAATTGAGTTGTTTTCTAATTGTTCTTGAAATATATACTGCATTGTCTGGCACTTATACTGAAAATGACAAAAGTTTGAATTCCAGGTTACTTTGTCAGCTTCCAAGGCCTTCACAAATTAAAGTTATCATTTAAAATGGACTTTATCGAATTTCTTGGTATTGATGGCTCTGCACACTCACTGGCCATATGTTTTTCCCTTATATCTTATTAAATATTGTGGGAAGTCTTCCAAAGATTAAAAAAAAAAAAAGGGTACAGGCTTGTGGAATCTCCATATTTGGGGATTTTTTTTCTTTGCCTTGTATTTAGAGGATTGTTTATGTTAATTGCATAATCTCTGCTATTTAAACCCATATGTTTTTGAGATTTTATACTTTTTAATTACAGTTGATGGAAATACCTGGGCACAAGTGATTGCTTTATACCCAACTTTAGTAGAATGCATCACCTGCTCATCTGCAGAAGTCTGCTCTGCACTTAAAGAGGCACTAGTTCCTTTTAAGGATTTCATGCAACCACCAGCATCCAAAGTTCAAAATGGAGAATCTTGACCAGCTACAATAATTTTAAAGAAGAAAGCTATCTCAAGAATGTTTGGTCCTCAGTGAGTCTTCTATGAGAAGGACATTTCTTACTACAAATAATTCCTGGCAGCTGGTGTTGGCCTCCTTTAAATGATACTTACCTGAGTTCAATAATTCATATTACAAGCTTACATGTCAACAGAGGCTCCTGAATGAGTAGCAGTGGAAGCCTTTAGTAAGTGAAGCTGATGGAGAGTTAATACATCATACCTGCTACTTTATCTTCAACTGGTGATTTAAAAGTGAGCTTATGTACAGTTTGTGGTGTATGTGTTAACGATGTACTTTTTAAAAAGAAAGAAAAGATATTTCATTCAGTCAGATTTATTAGGCTGGTGTTTTTGCACCCTTTTTCAAGTATAAAATTGTACTAAAATTTTATGCAAGATGGTACTGTAACATTCCATATTATCTATAACCAGCCTTTGTAAACAAAGGGAACTGATAAACTTGTGTGTATAATAAATGGTACAGTTCTGTATAAAATAGTTGCATTTATTATTTAAATTTTTAAAATATTGATAATGTTAAATGCTTGAAGCTGTATTTATTATTATAATACAAAATTGTTTGCTTACATTTTTACTTATAATTTGCCTTCTTAAGCAGCAGGTATGCTCACCATATGATCATGCAGTTATCTCAGTGCTTATTTTAAATGTATTTACCAGTGACTATTAAACATCTGATCAGAAAGGTCATGTGAACACAGCAGCAAATAGTTTATGATTTGCTGATTTTGCAACTTTGAAGTATAGGTTATTAATACATTAGGAGATATTGTAGCGCTCTGAATCCATCGTACCTCATTTCTTTAGATATCTTTCCCAGCTTTCACATAAATCTGTCTGTTTTTATATTTGGTGTCTGAATTTTAAAGACTTTTCATATTATATTTTTACTGATTTTTTTTCCCCCACTGACTAAGCATTTATCACTGTCTTTGAATTATGACCCAGGCAAGATGATTCCAGATTTCCAAATTTTGCCTGTGAAGTTTTGTTCATTTCAGTGTTTCATTTTGTAATGTCTTCTCAAGAAGAAAAATAACTATGCTAACCCATAAATGTAAAATGTGTGTGTATTCTAAAACAATGAGAAGTGTATTTTTGGAGATAGTGAAGCATTTAGAAGTACAGTAAACTTTCTGTCATGGAGTAAATTGCTAATTTTGTTTCACTTTCCTCTCTTAGTGCAGAAGAAAACTGCTCTTGAGTACACTAACTTGTTTCTTAAAAAACCTAGCCCACTGTATTTTTAATTTAATGGATTATATTATATTTTTCTTAGTTAAATTTTCGTAAACGTGAAGTTGCAAAGATGTTTAAAACAATGATTAAGAAATCATAATGGTTTCAGTATTATGTTAGTGTGCTGGAAGGCCTTTGATTTTAATAGAATTTATACATTTCAGCCACTCAAATAATTATAAAACTAGGAGAAGATACTAGAATTGAGTAATAGATGAGATACAATTTTGAGGCTATTGTAATTGTGTAATTATTTAATTTGCACTATTATCTGTAAACATGGTAAGGTCTTTTTTGGAGGGGATATTATTTTTATTTATCTGAATTAATGAATTTCTGTTTTATAATTTCACCTAAAATCGGGGTAAAATATGGCATTTCCTAGATTCCATCTTCATTTTCCCTAAAGTTGTAAAAAAAAAAAAAATCAAGCTGTGTATTTAGTTTATTTCCTATATTTGGATATGTTAAATTGAGGATTAGAAAAATCTGTATATCACTGATAGACTAATGAAATAGAATAACAAGGGTAGTATGCCAGTTAAATAACATGTTAAAAATATTGCCATGAATTTACATGAAGTGAAAATGTTTATTCTTGAGAAATAATAGATCAGTTGCAATCATAAAAATTATTCTCCAGTGAAAGTTAAACATGAATCAAAGGTATATAGCGTACATTTATATAAATTGAATAGCTTTAGCTAATATCCTATTAGCTTTCAATATCAGGACCATTCCCTACAGATCAAAGCATAAATGTGTTAATACCATATAATATGGTAATCAGTGCCAGTTTTAGTGACAAAGTGGGCTGTCCCCTTGGTGATGTAATTGTACAGGTTTTTTTCTCCCAGAATATCTCCTGCCACTCCCAGGAGTCACTACCAGCAATTTATTCCCTTGAGTCAAACATTCCTCTTAGGCTGCATTTTCTAAAATATCCTGATCCCTGGGGAGGTTAACACAGTGCCTTGCCCACAGTTAGTATGAAGTGGGTTCTCTAGTGACTAGGAGAACTGAGCTGTGTAAGATTACTAGATGCTAAGAGATTATAGAAAAGGGAGTTCCCAAAGCTAAGATCACTTTACAACACAACTGAGACTGTGACTACTCCTTGAACCATTAGTAATAATGTTCTCTGGAATGCATATTATAAATACAATGAGTTTTAAGCCTCACGTGATCATTTTTTGTCACTGACAGTGCCTATCTTACATAAGATTGCCAGACAACAGGTATATTCTAACATTGGATTATAATCCTTTCCTAACTTATTTCCATTATAAAAGAAACAAACTAATTTTCAACTTGAATAGCTTACTTTTTATTTTCCTATAATGCTACCACTCCCAAAAAGAAAAAAAAAATAGGTGATTTTATAGTGTCTCATTTAGTATTTCTTTGTAACTAGTGTTAAAGTTTTGTTAGTTTTCCTGTATACATTTGTGAGTAGCATTTATTTATTAGGAGCCTGTAGGGGCCAAAAGAAAAAGAAAATGCATAAAAGTTTGGCTTAGAGAAAACCACTTTCTACTTGCTTTCATTTTTAATTTTATGATATTAACAGCTATGTTGTTTTTTTAAAGCGTTTTTATTTATTTTCATTTTTTTAGAGAGCATGTGAGGAGGGGTGAGAAGGGGCAGAGGGAGAGAGAGAATCTTAAGCAGGCTCTGCGCTGGGCACGCTCCTTCTCAGGACCCTGAGATCATGACCCGAGTGGAAATCAAGAGATGCTTATCAGACTGAGCTACACAGGTGCCCCAGCTATGTTGTTTATTGCCTGTTTTCCCCCTATATAAGTATTAATTCAACTCTTGCTATATTCCTTAGGTTATATTTAGCACCAGAAAGAAGAGATGAACAGTTTACACATATGTTTTATTCTGAAGAATAACACTCATTTTACATTAATTCTATAAAAAGCCAATAACAACTAGGTTGTCTTTTCTCACTGTAACCGTATTTTGCTCATTGTCACAATTTGGTACCACTAGTCCCAGGTAACCATAAAGCAAGCCAAAAGGTTAGTTAAGAAACTGAGGGTGTGGTGGGGCAGGGGGCTGGAGCGAGTGCCTGGGTGGCTCAGTAGTTAAGTATCTGTCTTTGGCTCAGGTCATGGTCCCAGAGTCCTGGGATTGAGCCCCGCATCGGGGTCCCTGCTCAGCGGGAAGACTGCTTTTCCCTCTCCCACTCCCCCTGCTTGTGTTCCCTCTCTCACTGTGTCTTTCTTTGTCAAATAAATAAATACAATCTTAAAAAAAAAAAAAAAAGAAACTGAGGGTGTGGGCTACCTGGCTGGCTCAATCAGAGCATTTGACTCTGACTCTTGGGATTGTGAGTTTGTGTGTAGAGATTACTTAAAAAAAAAAAAAAAGAAAGGGTGAAACAGCATAGTGTAGAAAACCACTCAAAAGTATTAATTAGGTTGTCATTATTACACTCGTGTTACTGAAGAACAGTTTAGTTATTATATAATGATCCAATAAAATATAGTCTTCCCAAATGTAGAATAATTCAGATGGGCAGCCAAATCCTCAAGAGACTACTATAGGTGGAGTCTGTGTAGTCCAGCAGAATACTTTCAGGAAACCACCTACCTGTGATTGCTGTATAATTTAATACTGGAGATTTAGAAGCCACAGAATTAATGTCCAGGCCAAGAATATTGTGAGTTAATGTTTTTTTTTTTAATCGAAAACTGCCACAATGTGAACAAAAATAGTCTTGTGAAAGCATTGTCAGCAGCCTAATATGTCCTTTAGATTTCTACAGATTAGGTTTGGCATTATGGCAGATATGCTGATCTTGTATAAATTACCACATTTTTTTGTGCTTAGTGTTGCTTGGGGGTATATTAGAGTGGATTTTGTTTTTTTGGTTGTTTTTTAAATTACTATTGATGATAACAGGCGTTCATACCACATGGGGTGTTACTGACTTTTGTATTATGGGAAACAGTTTTTAATATCTCAATATCACTTGAATTAAATTTTTTGTATCTGGCAAGTAGAGTAGTGCTTTCAATTTGAAAAGTTTTTATAGATTGGGAAAGAAAGGTATAATGTCTTTGTATCTTGACTTGTTTAAAAACTATTTCAGAGAAGTTAGGTAAATACCAATTTCTTATAAATCTAGCACTTAATTTTGACACTAGCAATGTTGGCTCTCTTTAAAGATTTTTATTTATCCATTTAGAGGGAGAGAGAGCATGTGTGAGCAGGGGCAGAGGGAGAAGGAGAGAGAGAGAATCTCAAGTAGACTCCTCACTGAGCAGGGAGCCCGACATGGGGCTTGATCCCACGACCTTGAGACCACAGCCTGAGCCGAAATCAAGAGTCAGCTGCCTAACCAACTGAGCCACCCAGGTGCCCCAGTGTTGGTTCTCTTTAAAGGCGCTCACAGTGAGTCCTCTTGTGAATATAAACACTTAGGAATCTTGACTTGTGAGGCAGTGGGGAGCTCAGGCTCTCCCTCTTCTTTAACCTTAGGCTTGTGTAAGGGGTACCTGGCTAGCTCAGTCAGTAGACCATGCAACTCTTGATCTTGGGGTCCTGAGTTTGAGCCCCATGTTGGGCGTAGAATTTACTTAAAAATAAAAAACTATAACAAAAAAAAAAACCAACCCAGTAAATCGTAACTTTAGGCATGTGAACTTTTCAAAGCCTCTATTATTTAATCTCTACAACAGAGATGATAATTAATGAATTACTAATTCTTTGGAGAAAAATAACACATAGTTTGGATTTAGATATGATTTCCTAATGACATTGTTAGGTTAACTGTTCAAGTTTTTGGTAAATTTATTACTCCATCTTAAGAACTTTGACTATATACTTCTCTCCCTTTTTTCCTGCATCCTTTCTTTCCTTCACCTTCCCTCCTTTTAAAAAAATTCTGTTTACCTTATCATCTTCTTTTTTATACTTTCCCCTAGTTTTTTCTCCTTTTCATTCCTTTTATTTTCTGCCTCTTCTGTTCCAGCTTTTCCTTTAGTTTCACCTTTACTTTGTTCAAAAGAAGCAGAGCTATTAGTGGTAGGACCACTGCCAACTGCCTTTTTATTAAATGAGATTCTGGAAGTACCTTCTGCTTTGGCCACTGTTACTTTTTTGCCAAAGTCCCCCTGCCATTTCAAAATAGCTGAAGAAGTTCAAGTAATGACTGTAGCTTCTGCTATCTTTCTGAAACCTCAGGATTCAGCAGCCAGGATGCTCACAAAAGGGATTGCTATAAATATGATGAATTCAGCAGCTAAACTTGGAACAATCATGTCTTTTCTGTTATATGGATAGAGATTTATACCACTTTTCTGAGAGTCTTTAAAATCTGTTTAAATGAGGTTTTAAAAATTATTTTGTCTTTTTTTTGGAGGGGGGGTTTTCTTTGTTTTTAGAGGCAAATGCTTTGAATTATTAGCTTTATGTTATCTAAATATTATAATACTTATACTGCCTACTTTCAGAAGGATTTGAGGCAGCATATTGCCCAAATATTTCATCTGTTTCTAATTTTCTGTTGCAAAACAGTATTCTTTGGAGAAGAGCTACAATGTTAGAGTACTCATCTCCAAGTCTTTCTAGAGTGTATTTGGTATCTCTGTGCTTAGTGCTTACAGTGACACAGAGGTCAGTTGAAATGTTCCTAATTACACTATAGGATTGAATCTAGCCCCTCAGTTAAGAAAAAAAAAATTTTTTTACCTTTGAATTCTGAGGCCATT